CACACACACACACACACACACACACACACACACACACACACACACACACACACACACACACACACACAAATAGACTCAGACACACAGACTGAATACACACAGACTCAATTTCAATTTTCAAATTGAAATCAGATTGAGACTCAGACACACAGACTCAGACACAGAGACTCAGACACAGAGACTCAGACACAGAGACTCAGACACACAGACTGAGACACACAGACTGAGACACAGACTCAGACAGACACACAGACTCAGACACACAGACTCAGACACAAAGACTCAGACACACAGACTCGGACACATAGAGACTCGGACACAGACTCAGACACACAGACTGAGACACACAGACTCAGACACAGGAACTCAGACTCAGACACACCGACTCAGACACACAGACTCAGACACAGGAACTCAGACTCAGACACACAGACTCAGACACACAGACACACAGACTCAGACACACAGACACAGACGCACAGACTCGGACACACAGACTCGGACACATAGAGACTCGGACACAGACTCAGACTCAGACACACAGACTCAGACACACAGACTCAGACACAGGAACTCAGACTCAGACACACCGACTCAGACACACAGACTCAGACACAGACACACAGACTCAGACTCGGACACACAGACTCGGACACATAGAGACTCGGACACAGACTCAGACACACAGACTCAGACACACAGACTCAGACACATAGAGACTCGGACACAGACTCAGACACACAGACTCAGACACAGACACTCAGACACAGACACACAGACTCGGACACACAGACTCGGACACATAGAGACTCGGACACAGACTCAGACACACCGACTCAGACACACAGACTCAGACACAGACACACAGACTCAGACACAGACACACCGACTCAGACACACAGACTCAGACACAGACACACAGACTCGGACACACAGACTCGGACACATAGAGACTCGGACACAGACTCAGACACACAGACTCAGACACACAGACTCGGACACATAGAGACTCGGACACAGACTCAGACACACAGACTCAGACACACAGACTCGGACACATAGAGACTCGGACACAGACTCGGACACATAGAGACTCGGACACAGACTCAGACACACAGACTCAGACACACAGACTCGGACACATAGAGACTCGGACACAGACTCAGACACACAGACTCGGACACATAGAGACTCGGACACAGACTCAGACACACCGACTCAGACACACCGACTTAGACACAGACACACAGACTCAGACACACAGACTTAGACACAGACACACAGACTCAGACACACAGACTTAGACACAGACACACAGACTCAGACACAGACACACAGACTCAGACACACAGACTCGGACACAGACTCAGACACACCGACTTAGAAACAGACACACAGACTCAGACACAGACACACAGACTCAGACACACAGACTCAAACACACAGACTTGGACACAGACTCAGACACACCGACTTAGACACAGACACACAGACACAGACACACAGACTCAGACACACAGACTCAGACACACAGACTCGGACACAGACTCAGACACACCGACTTAGACACAGACACACAGACTCAGACACACAGACTCAGACACGCACGCACACACTGACAGACACACAGACAGACACACACACACACACATTTTTGTTTTTAAATGGCACATATGAACTAAGTTTGTTTAATTTGGCTGTATAAGAAATTGTGTTTAAATATAATTGATGATAAATTGTTATTTCCCTTTGCAATTTGACTGGCCCATTTTACCTGAACAGCTGGCCCATTTTACCTGAAACGGCTCATGCAAAAAAACTCGGCACTTCTGATGTTTCAAGAACTGTAGGGCCTAAATAATTTTATTTTATTACAAAATTTCAACACAGATGTATCAAAAACAGTCATAATTAATCATAAAAACACATGGATACTGCATATATGGTATTGTATTATTGTCCCAAACGATTTACCAAAAAGTGGCCCAATTTAGCTGATATCACCCTATATTTTATTAAATGCTTAACATTTTATAGTATTATTATCAATATTATTATTGGTATGTTTGTTTCCATTTTTCGATACATGCCTTTTTTAATGTAGTAAAGGAAAATGAAACATGACTCAGCAATCAAGAAGTTCTCTAACGCCTTTAACGAAAACAAGTTTGGGCAATTATATGAATAATCGTGAACAACAAGAATGTCATGGGTCAAGGGTTATGAATGCAGGATACCTCATCATTAGCCGTTAAGATTAATGTCAGGCCAAGTTTATTACCTTTGCAAGAGTAAGGAACACAAATGCAAAATAAACACAGCAGATAAAATCCCAAACGTGTTGAAGTGGGTTGTTGAGCATTCCAGAGACATTAATGGTTTTCATTTTGGGGGGGCACAGTGAGACAGCCATATTTCATAGACAGTGCTGCTAGAGGAAACTTATGTAATTAAAATTATATGTGTGTGTGTGTTGTGATATTTTGTAATTCTTCTGAGTTCTGAGTGTTACAGATACTAGTCAGTGCATTATAAAACATATTTGAGTAATTGTGCAAGTTGCTGCCAAGGAGATATAAGTCACATTAACTGCTTAACATACTCCTCAAAGCAATCTCAACAATCTCTCTGCCACCTACTCTTTTCTGATATGGGACTTTCCTGCGCTTTAAAAGAAGACACATTATGACTAGTCCCGGTCTAGATAACATGTTGGAGAGGTGATTTAACAGTGCAGTTTGGGAAAGAGTTTCCAGTAGAGGTTGATTTGTTTGGACATGATCTGGTAGTATCCTCCTTACATCCACCTTCAACTCTAGCCCAAGCCTGCTCATAGCTCATTGCAATGTTGTGAAAACAGTGAAATGTTGGCACAAGTCATGTGATGAAATGCTTATAAAATTTTCACGGTCCAAAAACAATGTAAGCCAGAGTGATCAACAAAATAACAAGCAAACATAACACATATGCAGAAACTTTTACAGCAACGTGGTTAGTGGTTCATCAGTGCACACAGATAGGCTATGTATACATGCACACATATCACTTCAGCTGCAGTGTAGATTAATATCTGCTTATATCTGATGTCTGTGTTTATGTTGTCATGACAACTAGACTGACACATACTTATACAGTATTTCTGCAATTCTCACCTGTGACGTGCACACTCTTTCATTTTTCTCACACCACACTAACGATTTTGAAGGCTTACTCCCACCACATAATAAAAAAAATACCTGTTTATCAACTTTTTAATCGAGTTTACAAGCTTGGCCTCATCAATGTTTGTAAATGTAGGAAAGAACATCCCATTTTCCTTATATGATGGTGATTACACATTGCAAATGACTCCAAAGGCTGATTGTTTTATCCGAAAGGTAATTTGCTTTTTAGTGCTGTCCTGATAAGATTCAAAACATAAGAGCTCTGCTGGGAAGAGAATGAATAAGGTGAGAAAAGTACAATTTATTTCCTTATCCTCATAAATCCAAACCTGTCCTAACACAACAATGAGATACTGGCAAATAATAATCTATTCTTAGTCTTTGATTTCACTGGGTGAGTTGCTAGTGATGTCATCTATAGTCACTTACTATAATTAGACACCAAACACTGGTTTACAACAGTTTTTTTAATGCAGTTTACTTTCTTGGTATAGTTATTCGACCACTGTGGTTCTATGAAAAGTTGAATCGATTCTCATATAATAGTAAAGCGATGTTGTTGAGAGGGAAATTTCTTAAACCAGTTTATTAAACCATGCAGAATATTGAATATTTTGCAAACTCTTCTCAAACAGATACAAGAACCCATTTCTTAGAAATAAAATCCTAAATAATCAATCTATCAGCTGACTTCCAGTGATAGAACAGCTGCATTTCAAGAGCAACTTTGAACTTTTGGATCATGTAACTTGGGTGTGGTGTTTGATTTCCTGTAATGAATGACGTTTGATATGAAAATGGGCATTTTCCCCAGTCGTTCCTGGAACTTGAGGAATACTTAGGAAAGTTTTAACTTGTTCTTAAGAGTGGTTCCTGGTTCCTGACAGCATAGTGAGACAGTTCAATAAAAAATTAGCAATTAACACCTTAATAATCCTTGTTTGTTTTCCAAACACGTTACACAATCCTCCAAACCTGTTGCATAAAAGCTAGAAGTTAGAAGTTCAGCATTATGTCAGCAGCATGGATGATTACCTGATGTAATGCTTCTGGCAGCCTGACCTCGCTTTCCATGCCAGCCATATTCACATCAGTAGATATCAGATAAGATTACGACGTCTCAGATCAATAGGCTTCTTTGTTCATTGGTGTGCCGGCATTTTGGATGTACTGTAGCTGAACTTAGACCTCCATCTCAGATAGCTATGCTTGAAGTAAAAGGAATAGGCCTAGTTATTTTGAACTTTATATATTATTGTCTAACCTGATTTCACCAAGAGCAACATGTTCCTAGATCAACATCTTTGTTGATACTAGAAGAACATTCCAATCAACCAATCAGATTTGAGGGACAGATTTACATGTCAAGTTTAGGCTTACAATCAGGGTTAGGTGCTTCTACTTAAGTGTTAATTTCCCTCTGATTTTAGGAATAATTTATGGGTAGGGTTAGGTTATGGACAGGAATGTTGTTCCAGCACAAATATTGATCCAGGAACGTGCCTAACTCTGCAAAATCAGGACGTCTTATGATCCCTTAGATGAAAAAATTGACTGGTTGCATAGTTCATCAACACAAGAAATGTGCTTACTGATGATATATTAACAATGGAAATTTGTGAGGAAAATATCTGTAATATTTTGGAATACCACTTTAAACTTATTTGCGATCTGGAGAAGCTTTTGAAGCCAGTGGAGATTTGAAATGTCAAAACTGAATTGTGATAATGGACAGTTAATGAAAAAGAAAAGAGGCAAGAATTGTAAGAGCTGAAAGAGCAAGTGGTGTATTTTTTTAAATAAATATTATACAAATAACAGGCATTATACCAATAAGAAGATCTTATTAAAATGGTTTATTGTTGAAAAAGAAATCATAATTTCACAAAGATCATTTTACACAAAGAGCATTTGAATGTGCACACATATATAAGGGCTTTTTATGCAACAATTCAAGAGGTAGCAAATAATGGTCTTGTGTGTGTATGGAGGTGACATGATAACTTTTCAAAATGGCACAGAACTTAACAAACCTTTGCCAAATATTTGTCTCTAAGCCTGAACCGAAGCCAGACACAGAAAATCCAAAAATCAACAAAGCTTTAGTAAAATCAACTGTCAGGCGATGCTCTATCAAAACATGCCATGAAATTCCAGCCCTTATTGTGGACCTCATTATTACTACAATAAAGGAAAACAATGTTCCATAATTTTTAAATATTTGCACAATTTTTAAACAGTAGCAATTTCCTTTCACATATGTAAAAAAACAAAAACAAATTCCACTTGGTTTTTAACTGTTCAAAATACAGTTATTTGATATGATGTGGAACCAAATTTAAAGGTTGTTTTAAACGAACACTAACAATTTCTTCCAGCTTGCAAATTTTCAATTCAGTTTTGCAGATTTGTTTAATTTAGCTGTTATGTAGAGACTTAAATATAAACCAAACCAAAAGCTGATTGATGAAGGTAAAGGTAGAAATCCAGCATCCTAATGATGAACTTCAAGATTCAAAAGATAAAGAGGAAAAAATATAAATACATATAATACATTAGTTGTTGTCTTTGAATAGCAGTCATGCACACACACACACACACACACACACCTTTTTTACCCACAACCAATAATACATTTAAAACATGCATTCTCCACGTCAAATATTGCACTCTTAAATATCCATCAAACTATTGTCACCATTCCAAGTAACTTAGCTTTAACATAACTTACATTGCAATTCAGCTTGTGCTGTCTTTCACACATGACATATACTAAAATAAGAGACTAAATTTGTCTTTTCAGTTCAACTTGCAGGTTTAACATTGGCCTGCTATGTGCTCAAATGTAAACATTGTGGTTCTTCCTTCATTTTCTTTATGGCACTTGATAAATGAACACCCAAGCTGCTAATCTAAAAACATTTATCAATAAAAAAGCAGTAACTTGAAAAATCAAAAACACTATACGATGCAATGGGGGAAATGTGCCCAGAATTTTTTTTTCATCTTTGTTGTATTCTGATATCTTTTCTTTTTCTTTCTTTTATTATTAACCTTTGTCTCCTTGTTCTTGTTGTTTTATTATAATTTGTAGAATAATAATTTGTACTTTACAGCCAATTGGTCTACTTTGTAATGGAAAGGGCTTTATAAATAAACTAGACTTGAGAGAAGAATCCTCCCTAAGCATTGTGTTTTCGGTTTAGGATGAGGGGGTACAAGGGAGGTTTAAAATGGCTGACTCCCTGATCAGTGCCTTGACTACTGAAGCTGATTGAGACACACCCAAAGACACACAGGCATGAATTCAGAATGCATTACATAATCCAGGGGAAAAAAGAAGAGAGTGTGGAAAGTTCAAACAGTAGGCTTCAACAATTTTCTTTCTTATTTGATGGATGTTTAAAATAACTGAAGCCCATGTGAAATACACCATGAGCTTTATGCATCACAGTCAGTAAACTTGACAGAAGTTTGAATTGCTTGTTCAATAGGTCTCTTAGCTGGTTGAGAAATGCCCTGAGTCATGTTGATGGTCCTTGGATCCTTTTAGGTGAATGGCATATTTAAGGAGAGAGAGGCTCAGATTGGCATTTCCAATGTGTCAGTTATTTTTTTGGCCTTGCTGGACACTACTATATCCAATCTGAAGCACCTTTCCTCAGGCAGAGCCTCTCATGTTCTCAGCTTGAGAATGACTGTCGCTAGCATAATGAAGAATGTGTTCCAGCCCAGAGTGACCACAAAGCCTCGCCAAACCATCATATGGGACAGACCCCAACCTGAATGCAAAATTGGAGAATCAGTACTCAGTAACAGGATTAGTAATCAAATCTGACAACAGAAAACAAATAAAATCAAATTAAATAAAATCATTGGAAATAATGTTATTCTTTAATCTGTGGAAGCCTTGTTTTGTGAATCTGTTGATTTACATGAACCATCCGAACAATCCAATTCACGAGAATGAATCAGATTTTCCAACACTACATATGAGAGAGGGGAACATTTAGGGCAGCTGCTGAGTGAACTAAACTTTATGTAGATAGCAGTGGTGGAATGTAACGAAGTACAAATACTTTGTTACTTTACTTAAGTACATTTTTCACGTATCTTTACTTTACTTAAGTAGAATAAATAGTGCATACTTTTTACTTTTACTTCGTTACATTTTGCAGCAATTATTATACTTTCTACTCCACTACATTTCTACAACTTCGGTTACATTTTCATTACATTTTCTATCAACCCGGTTACACTAAATAAAATGCGTCTCGCACGCAGTGTGTTTATCGTACAATTTATACCCGAAAATTTGTTTTTACGTGCATAGGAAACACACCGTGTGTAATATACGTTTGGTTGGGATTATGGCAAGCCAAGAGGTTCAGAATTACACCATAAATGAATCGCGTTTAATGCCAAAAAATAGTTAGGATAAGCATGATGTGTATATTGCCTAATTGCAAGCTTGTTTCAGAAATGGTGACAACATTTTTTTTCCATCATTTTGAACATCATTATAGGAGTTTTAGGTTGAATGAGTTAGAATTAAATGTTTTATTAATCATTAGAAAATAGACATTAAGAGAATAAATTGTTATGCAAGTACTTTTACTTTTAATACTTAAAGTACATTTAAAATCAGGTACTTTTTACTTTTTACTTAAGTATGGTTGTCATTGTGTTACTTCTACTTTTACTAAAGTAAATATTTATCTGGTTATTTGTACTTTTACTTAAGTACTGAGATTCAGTACTTCCTCCACCACTGGTAGATAGTCTGGCTCTGCAAATAGTTAAAGTAATATTGAATGTCATAGTTTTATCCATTTCTAATTATGACTCCTCCCAGAGCGGTTATTTTAGTATAATTCATATTAATAAAATTTCGAATTAGCTGAAAATTAAATTTATTTAAATTTAGTTACTTAAACATATTTTTTGTCATTTTTATTGTTTTTAAATAATTATATTTATCTTTATTTTTGTGACTTTTTATTTCAGTATTTCACATTTTTTATCTAATATTTATAATTTATTTTAATTTGAGCTTTATATTATATATACAGTATATATACAGTATATATATATATATATATATATACTTTCAGTTGTCGTTAACAATAATACCATTGTTCCTGAGAGAAGTTGATGTGATGACATAATCATAAACCATTATCATAAAAGAGCTCAGGTAGATTATTGAAGGGGAAAACCATGTTTGTGTACAGTCTGCAGATGTTCAGTTACATGACCTGTCTCAGCTCTGATCTAACCTGTACAGACAATCAACTTCAATTCATTCGAACCTGAACTTCAACTATGTGGTGTCCTTGTCTATCCAAGCGTTTCCCAACTGTGAGCAATGCTGATAGGTAAACAGCAGGGAAGCTGTGTGTTTAAATTAGGAATGGAGGCAGACGCTCCTCCTGCTCCGTGAATAATTGAGACAGAAGAGTGTCAGGTGTCCTGGAGTCTACTGTAACTCAAGATGTTTGTATCAGAGGGAAAATGTTAGATGAGTGGGACTTCATAGAAGATTATGCGTGTGTGTATCGGATGAAAACAGCACAGAAGAGACGTTAGTCATTTGAGGTGTGCAGGTAAGAGAATGACTGAGGTTTGTGATAAGATACTAGAGATATGTTACAGACACTCCATTTCCATTAATTGTGGTAGGTGAGAATACTCCATCTGTACCAAGTATCTCAACATCACTACAACCATCACACACCATCTGATACATCTATATATATTTATACACAGTGCTTAGCATAAGTGAACACACCCATGCTAAAGTTGACTAAAAACAGGAATAAAAAAAAGCATCTTTTGGATATTGATATTAATCCCTTAATTTAAAAAAATAGGAAAAATCCAACCTTTAATGACACCAATTTTCTTTGTGAATGAATAATGTATAGTAAATAAATAAATATTCTTCCTTAAAATACAGGGGGAATAAGTCAGGACACCCCTATTTTAAATTTCCATAGAAGCAGGCAGATTTTTATTTTTAAAGGCAAGTTATTTCAGGTTTTTAAAAAAAAAAATTATTCCAAATAATAGGTATATTAATAAAAATATTTATATTATATATTATAGTACATTTATATAATATTATGTATTTATATTATACAAATATATACAATTTATATACAAAAATAAAATATATATATATATATATACAAAAATATATATTTTATTAAACTAATATATAATATTTAATAAGAAATATTTTTAAGTCTACATGGCATTATTTTCATTTAATTTGACTATATTTACAACAATATTTTGTTTTTTAAATGCTGTAGTGTCAAAACTGGCATTGAGGATATCCGAGGTTCTTGTGTGTACCACAGAAATGTTGTTGTTGGTGCTAGATTTTAAATCATACCTCTGTACATGATGCAGCGCAGGGCTTCAGATGCGTAGGTCTGGGGCAGGACTAGACTCAAATAACGCAGAGGATATGGGATACACTCCACCGGCCAGATAACACCTACAGGAAGTAGTTAGAGGAACAGAGAAAAGACTAATTTAATTAATGTAAGACTTTGATCCGTAACATCTAATATGTAACCTTAGCCGTGTGTCTGTGTAACATCAGGAAACCATAAATGACAAATTAGAATTAATATGAGGTTAATGTGCGTTAATGTGAGGGTAGAGTGGTAGAGACGGTAAAGAGAGGGTTAAAGAGAATAAAGAGAATTCCCTTCCTTTTCTTTACAATAATCATCTTTTTTTCCTTTCCATTTTTATCTCATCCATCAATTATCATTCACTCTGTTGATTCTGCTCCACTATCAGCCCACAATTTCATTCACTGTGGAATCACATCCATTAATTCACTTGACACACCCAGATAGCATGACCCTCAAATTGCCCTTATTATATTTTCTGGACTGCACCATTTTAGGCTGGAGGGAGAAATGACAGACAGTCTTAAAATACAGGGCAGCATCAGTACTGGTGTGTGAGGTTTAAAGGTATTTAAATATAAATATTACCAAGTAAAATACGTAATTCACAGGGTAACCTTATGCCATCAAATAAATGTTTTAACATATGTGAGATCAGACTCTACCACTAATGATGAGGTTGGGGTAGAAGATTCCAAGAGCCGCTTGATTGGCAGACTGCTCGTCATCGATAGCAGAGGAGATGACCAGCCCGAAGGAGATTCCCGTCACTCCCTGCAGCACAATCAATGAGATCACCAAAGCCAGAGATCCTTCATTAGGAATCTGCAATAAACAGACATAAAAAAAAGATGGTGATAATAATGATGAGATGTATTCCAGTGCACAGTATATATACTGTATATGTATACACACACACACACACACATATATATATATATATATATATATATATATATATATACTGTATATATATATATATATGAGTGTGTGTGTGTGTATATATATATATATGTGTAATGGCTGGTAGGTAAGTTTCCTCTCAACTTCCTGTGAAGTGATATTTCAATTCCAAATGATCTAAGGAGTCAAATATACCATTTTAACATTATGTTACAAAAACAATACATATGTGTAATATTTAACAATAGGTTGTTTTAAAAGAGTGTTTCAATATGATAGTGATCTGAACATTCTGGCATGTCACAATGCCAGAAATTTTAAGTAAGTGTGAAGAGTATCTTGTGTTTCTGCTCTTAGCTCTTATTGGCTGATTTTACAGCACATGCTAGTCAGTGCTGCGTCCTCGTTACACGTCAGAAATAGAATGTCTAATCTGCAGCTGGGTCTGTTACCAAAGCAATCCTTTTGTTGCTGTGGTGGTCAAGCACAAATCACTAAATACAAAGCAAAAAATGATTTATTAATAAACATATTTATATGACTCAGTCCCAGAGCTGTTTCTACAAAATTTACAGTGCACAGGACAATTCACAGATCTCAAATTCCCCAGACAACAGCCCTGCTCAGTCCTGATATGTTTATGAACATCAACATGAGCATATAGAAGTCTCCAAAGCCTATAAGGTCAACACATCTGGAAGGATCTAGAATTTTAAAGCAATTTAGGATTTAGCCATGTCAGTAAGTTCACTCTTTTTTCTCGTTTCCTCTGAAGAGGCAATTAAATTTTTTTAATGAGAAATCAATCCATATTACATAAATAAAAACACAAATGTGACATTAAAAACAAGTAGTTTATACACTTTTTAAAGTAATACTGTTCAACAGCGACACCCGCAGGTGGTTGCACTTACAGCAGTAGTCTCTCTAGGGTTTTTGAACAGAACCCCTAAAGCGTGTGCTGGGTTTGGGATAATTGAGAATGAATGGAGGAAATTCATGAGAGAAGAGGTAATGCCTTCATCATGGTAAGATTAGTTATGATTGGTTAATGCGATAAATCCTGCCTCTTCTTTCATGGATCTTCCACGTTCATGAATTAGTCTGAATAAACAAAAATGATGCAGTTAATGGGAAGACTAAATAAAAAGTTAGTAAACAACTTAGATATCACTGCTTTAAGTCATGTCAAAATAAAACTCGAAATGGCCTGAAAACATGATGATAGTGAGCAATCTGCTTGGTGAAATTAAATCGTGTCTGTGACCAGTGTTTACTGCGCTTAATGACTGATGCTCTGCAAATAAGTTGACTATTAAAAGTTCACAAATAATATATATTGTTTAAATTGTTATTCCCTTCAGTTATTATTTTGCAATAAACCTAAATATTCTTAAAACACTAACTTGAGATATATACTTGGTTAGTTCTATGAATAGAACATTGTCAATGTAAAAATACCAACTAGAATTGTGTTTGAATTCTTTTTCTTTCTTTGCCTCCTCACTTTATTTTAACACCACTGATGCCACTGATATACACTACACATTTTTTGTTGTTGTAATTAATACTTTATAAAAATGTAAATTAAGTAAGGGTGCAATAAATTGACCAAAAGTTACAGTATCACTTTTATAGTATTTTGTACAAAGAAATCTATATCAAAATGCAGTTCTTTTGAACTTTTTATTCATTAAAGAATCCTGAAAGGAAAAATGTTTTCAAACCCATTTCTACATGGATAGTAATAATAAATGTTTTTGAATACCAAATCAGCATATTAGTCTGATCTCTGAAGGATCATGTGACATCATTTGAAAATTCAGCTCTGCCATCATAGGAATAAATTACATAAAAAAAGATTCATATAGAATATTTTTTTCAATTTTCGTAGAGACTTAAAATCGGACCCCTTATTATTAAACATTAGTGTATATTTTTAATTATTTAGTTAATAAAAGGGTGAAAAAAGATAGCTTATTCGGGCAAAATATGATTGGCTCTTTGAATTTATTTAGCTTTAGTCATATGTAAAGACTTCACAGTGGACTACAAGCCAACAGTCTATCTGGTGTTATGTCTCCTAAGTGTTGAAGGACGGCAAGAGCTGAGGGTGGAATTTTTTTGCGACAGTAATGTTAATATGTATGTGTTAGGATTAACTGTAATTACCATTTCACTTTTAAACAGAAATTAACAGCACACACACAGATTTAACACTACGTCTAATTTATGCTGTATGCACACACACACAAATGCACACAGACACAGATCTTGAGACAGACAGATAGACATATGTTAATGAGAGATAAACACGTAGCTGGCAACACACATACATACAGACTCACTTTGAAGACCAGCAGGATGAAGATCAGCAGAAGGATTATCTGAACACTGATGACAAATAGCTGTGAGAAGAGGTGTGCCAGCATGGTCTCCAGAGAACTCACACCTTTAGAGAAATAACCACACAGAAACAAATACACAACATACATCCATGAAACACAAACTATATAAAATGCTCACCATGTGTGTTTAAAACTGCCATTGCTGCTCATGCTTTTATGTGCTGTGGGAGATCAGCTCCGCCTATTGGTAAATATCTGAAACTGCTCATTCATAACTCGATTGAGAGTAAGGGCTGAATTCAATAAAAATTATGGCAAACAAAAACACACCAAAAATTCTTATTCTGGAGGTTGGTTCGAAGTGCTAGTGGACGAGACAACAGACTACTTCTTAATTTAAATACATGAGGCATAGTGCTTATTCACCTGGATTGCTAGTGGTTAGTAAATAAGGTTTGTTTTTGCACACGTCTTTATGCTGAAATACTCAAAACAAGTGTCACAATTGTTTAGTGAATTCGTCCCTAAGATGTTAAATGATGGCCATCTGGTGGATGTGAGCTGTCTCACCTGCCACCCAGCACCTGTCCAGCAGCCCCTCCTTTCTCTCCAACACAAAGGATAGAGCGGTCAACCCCACTGCCAGGTAAAATGTGATGCTGAAAAGAGAAAATAAAGTAGAGAAAGGTGACATTGTAAAGAGGTCTATCATGTTGCAATAGTATTATCGGACAATGTAGTAATATTTATGAGGGGCTGTAAGTGTGTTTGTGTGTAAGTGCATTAATGGTGTGTGTATATGTGCACCTCAAAACGGCCCCTGGAGTCACAAACGTTGTGAAATCGGTGTTCTCACTGCCATATATTGGTTTTTCAAACTATAACACCACATGTAACAAAAATAAGAAGGGCATTTTTAAATAAGAAAAAAAAGAATAAAGAAAATTCCAAAGACCAAAGAGATAAAAGAAAGGATAGAGTGATCAAAAGGGCACATATAGAGAAAAAAAGAGAAAGACGGGATAGAGAGAAATATAAGATATGATAAGTTTTATAGAAAAGATATTACACAAATTTTTAAATATAAAAAAAAAGATTAAGAACATCATCGCTCTATACTCACTTTTATAGGGAAGGCCACCATGTAAGATAAACTCCCCAGCTTTGTCTCAATAAAAGCCTATTGAAAGAACAAGGAAATAAGGATAGTGAATGATGGGGAAAAAAGCTTAAATGTAATTTTTTTTTTACTTTTTTATTCACCCCAAAGGCCTCGTGGAGTTTTTTCTGTAGCATAAGGGCAATCTGTCGATCTGAAATGTAAAAAAAAAAATAGCTTAATTTCATTTCATTTCTTAATCTGAGTTTGCCCAACTCAAACTGTGCTAATCATATCATTTAAAAAAAAAGCAAACTAGAAACATGACAAATAAAAACATTCCCGATGAAGGTATTTTGAATCCAACTTCATGTACAAAGATGCATGCAAAATTCTGTTTAAATGAGCTGAACTGACATGTAAATAAAGGCATAAAGGACACCCTCGTGTGGCAGAAGTGTGAGGTCATGTGAGTTCAAAAGCTGAATAATATTAAAAAAACTCACTAGTCAGATCCAGCCAAACATGCACAGATCCTCCCTCAATCACATCTCTGGAGACCCGGGGCTGCAACATCCTGCGCACACACACACAAAAATAATAATCTTAAATATAATTTTACAAATTTAGATGTTTATATGTTACATGTTTGTAACAAGGGCAAAGTTTGTGTCTGACATTTAAATAGCTCCAGTCGGGACAGAGATGTACAAAAATTATCAGAGAAACAGATTGACAGAGTAAAACTGAAAGACAGGACAGACCTGCTTTTCTCCCCCTAAAAACACTGTTATTCACTCCTGCTGCCTCTCCCAACACTATTTTCATCAGTCTTTCTGGTACAGTCATTATCACCTGACGCAACACCTTGTTTACATGAATGCTTGCGTTTTTAGGCTGAAATGGATGTCATGACTGAGGAGCTTCTGAGGTAATGACTCAGAGAGGCCTGATGTTTCATGTCAGGGATGGGTCTAAATTTGCATGCAAGAACAAATGTAACACCTTAAAGGGTTAGTTCACCCAAAAATGAAAATTCTGTCGGGAATTACTCACCCTCATGTTGTTCCAACCCCGTAAGACTTTTGTTCATCTTCGGAACACAAATTAAGATATTTTTGATTAAATCTGAGAGCTGGATCACTCCTTCATAGATTTCTAAGGGATTGAAACTTGCCGGCCCAGAAAAGTTATTTAATGGCTTGTTTCCACTGAGGGGTGCGGTACGGTACGGGACAGTACAGTACGGGTCGGGTCGGGTACACCGTGATCAGGCTTGCGTTTCCACCGCCAACAGTACCCTTACTTGATAGGCGTGGTATGCTGGAAAGAAGCGATCGACGTCATTTTCGCGCGAAGAAAGCGACATAGTAAACAACAATGGATGACAGACTGCAGATCTTGTTCTTGCCTCTCGGCATGTTTGTCACTAGAAACAAGCGCTGGCTTTAGGCGTTTCCAAGAAGCCAACGCAAAGTCCGACTCAGGAGAATGATCCCGAGGACGCGAGTTCTTGAACAGCGCGTTCTTGAACACGGCACTGAGCTCGCTCTGGCTCTGCGACTCCGGTCATCTCTATGTTCATTTTAGGCAACAATAAAACGAAATGTGTAATAAAACACCACTCTGCTTCTTTTCGATTTCATTTCAATACATTTTAAACATTCTAAAGCATATAAATGTGGTTCAGGCAACGCATAGCCTATTGATTATCACTGCATGTATGTAACGTTATATATTTATAACAAAACTAAATATAAAACAACCCTGCCTCTTTTCATTTAAATTTTAAAATATTAAACATATTCCAGGCAATATGTAATGTATTGCATATCGCATGCATTGGTACAAATGTTGCAATAAAGAACATTACAGACGATCTTGTAAAAAAAAAAAAAGACAAAACTATCTCTTTTTGTTGAATTTCAGTTTTATCAATAGCCATCATAAAAGTGGTACAAAACACAGTAAAGCTTAAATAACATCAAGAAACAATTCAGTCAGTGAAATATACAAATTCAGCGCTCGATAAACTTCACGTAGCCTTCTGCCAAAACTATTGGCCAGGGAATGAATTATAGATTCACGAGACTAAAGATTACCTGTTAGGTTTATACAAGACGAACTATATCTCATGTTTAATCACTACAAACAGAGACGTCCGCGTTAGCGGCAAACATCAGGATGACTAGCCGAGGAAAGGCTGTTCCAGGCGGGGGACACGAGCGCGAGCGTCCGGTGATCGCTTGGAATGGATCTCAGTCAAATTATCAAACATCTATAAATAAACCACAGATTTGATCTTTAAAAAACTACTTTCTCGCCTGAAAAACTCTTAAAACTACATTTCGTGACACAATAACAGTAGAATTATATTTCAAGTTACTGTATGCTTCTAATGCCCTTGTAGCACGCGCGAGTGACGACTCTGTCCACCAATCACAGTTCTGCAGTGAGTCTAGCTCCACCTTTTAGTACCCTTTCACTGTGCTAGGTACCCTAACGAAAGGGTACCCAAAAAGTGGTACGGTACGGTTCGGCTTTTTGGTACCATTCACAACTTTTGACAGTGGAAACGCAAATAATTGCGTACCGAACCGAACTGTACCGTACCGTACCACTCAGTGGAAACGAGCCATAAGACATTGTTAAATGTCTAAGTTAATCTTTAAGTTTAACTTCATTCAATTATTAATTTCCTTCTCTGTGGGCCTCGAGTGAGTTCACATAATGTAACTGCGCAGCACTTTGTGTTGTACATCACACGTAGGCTCACTATTGGCCGACGCTGGTCATGTGTGTGATGTGTATGATGTACAACACAGAAGCGCTGCGCTGTTACACTACGTGAACTCACTCGAGGCCCACAGAGAAGGTAACTTAAGATTGAGCAACTGTAGTCACTTGGACCATTTTAACAATGTCTTTAATAACTTTTCTGGGCCGGAAAGTTTCCCTTAGAAGCCTATGGAGGAGTGATCCATTTGAAGTCCTCTATTAAAGAAAAGTGTTGAGTAACACTATTGTTTATTGATTGAAGTAAAAGTTATTAGTTCCTCAGCGAGATGATAGCGCTGATATTTCAATAATCATACACAAAGGTACTGGACTGATCAAGTCCAGGGCTAGTGTAAACAAATGATACAGTGTAACATTTTTTATGTTTAATTTTCTAATTACATTTTAACTAGTTATTTGCAATGAATTTTTGAAAAGAGTCAAATTGTCTGAATAGTTTTTTTTATTATTATAAATGTATAAGATCAAATGACAGCTTACAAAAGTTAATAATAATTAAAAAAAAAAAACTATGATGCAACTTCAATGTAGAAAGCTATCTTTGTTATTTAACTTGTATTGTAACTACAATGGTTAGCTTTTATTTTACCTTAGCTAATTTTTATGTAGGAGTTTGTAGCTTAGCTAGTATCTTGCCCAACACTTTCTGTTTTTCATTTAGCACATGCTAAAAACCAAGACTGCATATTGAGTTGGAGAATATGTACCTTTCTGAATTAACAATGCAAACTACTGGTGCTCACCTTTTGGTTAGATAGCTGGTGAAATTCTCCCCAAACTCTATGACAGCCCAGTATTCCCCATTATGAATACCAGCAAAAGCTTCAGAATGAGACAATTTCACCTGCAGAAAGGAGAAAGTTTTTCTCATGACTACTTATAAACTCGTTAGTTTGTTGAAGTGAAATTGAGAAAAGAGGAAGTGAAAGAGTAAGAGTCTGTATAATTTCTATTCTATTTTAATGTCCTGAATTTGTAAGAAAAAAACTGATTTACTGTGTTAAATGTAGTCCTATACAGTCTTAAAATTGTCTGTCTTTCTGTGTAAATTTTGACCTTGAAAACAAATGTGTGCCTACCTGGTGGACACTTGTGTTGTCAAGAAAAGACAGCAATGTGGTACTGTAGGCACTGGGACTAGTCTCATTATTGACCACAGCCACATCAATGCCTTTGGGGTCTCCACCAATACACAGGCACATCAGACAGATCTGAATTACCGGCAACAAGAACTGGAAACAGAGGGACCTGAGCACAAATCAGATGAACATACACAAATTACTGATTTGAGTTTAAAAAAAATTGTTTATCATTATCAATTTGATTATTTGGATATCATTACCCTGGCATTCTTCTCATTCGAACCATTGTCTTGATCATCAACGCTGCAATGTTGCGCCATTTTGGTATGAAATGTCTGGCTCGCACTTTCCAGTCAGCTGCAAAGACACAAGAACATTTCAACTGCAAGCATCAGTTTCAATGGTGATCAATGCTATTCTAAATATGTAACCGGTGACATTTTTGTCAATCTTGTAAAAAAGTGGATTTCTGTTTCAGTTTCAGTTTAGCTTTTGTATGCAGTATTTTAGAGCAAGTGAACTTCTACCTCTTTGTTGTACCTTTATATTTAGGTATGTCTCCTGGTGTACTCTTTCTCAGTATGGGCTCTCTGCTTTCATCTCTCATACTGTCTGGGGACGGACTGTTGTCCAGCAGACGGCCCTGCAGGCCCTGTCTGGAGTCCATCTGATCGAAGTCCTCACAAAGTTGCAAGAATGCACTCTCTAAAGTCTAATACACACACACAGATGCATTTCATAAGTTTGAATCATACCGAAACATAGTGCGTGTACATGCATGTGAGGCATGTGTGTGTACTCACTGCTGCATTGTGTTGCTTCATAACAGCGTCTGGAGGACCTTCAGCTAACAATTGACCATTCCTCATCAAACCAACCTACAGAGAGAGAAAAAGAGGTTTTAATAGTAATACTTAGGAGAAGTGAGACAATTGCTGACAAAGCAGGAGCACATATATAAATGAATGTGGACACCACAGCTTAGATGGTTTGTTCTTGTAAGAATTTGATGAGAAATATTTGAGTTCATAGTGAGATCTCCAACTTTGCAAGCCTGATCACAGTTTATACTTTTCAGAGAATGAGAGAAACAAGATGCTAAAAAGAGAAAGGGGTGGGTCATGTTTTTATGTAAGGAATAGTTCTGATATTTAGGTTCTGAGTAGGACTATCTTAGGACAAGTGAATGTGCGTGTACTTTAAATATGTATGTTATGATTGTGTCTTTGGTGTCTCTGTGTGTCATTTGTTAATGTGACTAATAAACAGGATGAAGCAACTGTCAGGCTGACGCTACACAGCCAGCATGGCATGACCTCAAGACAAACTGGTGAAACAACAAATTGAATGGAAATAAAATTAAACAATAGTCAGGTTGGCTTAAATCTTTGCAGATTCTTCTCCTAAAATGTGTTGTCTGATGTCTTCCAGCGATTACTGTGTATATTTTTTGATGATATACACAGTAATCTCCCTGATTATTGCAAGAAATAGGTTTATCAGTGGTCTCCAAAAAAAAGCATCATGAAACAGTCAAAACGCTAACTAGCATTTAGTACAAATAAATATATGTGCTAATTTCAAACGTAAAAGCTCACCTGAACATTTTTACCAAAAGCTAGATAAAGGTGCAGTGTGTAGATTTCAGCGGCATCTAGCGGTTCGGTTGCGAGTTGCACTAATGGCTCAGCCCACTGCTAACCCCTCCGTTTTGAAGAAGCTACGGTTGCTAAAACGGGACAAAAATATCGTCGTCTGAGACAGCAGAGAATAGCCAGAGTAAGCCAAGAGAGTGTACCACAGTCTATTATAAACTACATCATGAATAAAGTTTATAAAGCCATAGTCAGGTGAGGATCAAGGGTCTTAATATATAATATAAAAGTAATCAGCTGATTGTCTCACGAACGTAACCAGCACATTTCTCCCCAAATAGCAAACCCATAATACAGCGAGGGAACCACATGAAACTAAAGGTGCGCGCGGCAAAAATGACGTGATTGTAAAAGCGTGCGCACCTCTGCATTCCCTAGAAACCATTTACTACACACAAATTAATAAATAATAATGAATAAAAATATTGCTTTTTTTCTCTGGTTTTGAAAACTATTCGCAATCAACTTAAAATGTGTCCAAGATCGATTTGTCGACCGTGATCAACGGGTTGGTGACTCCTGTAACGTTTTACGGTCAATAGTAGTAATCAGCTGATTGTCAAAGCCATAACACAGCGAGGGAGAAGAACAAAGTTACATGAAACAGTCCAACTACATATTTTACACCACTGACAAGGGAAAAGTCACTACTCATGGTGTTTATGGCTAGCTTCTAGCTTTCTGCAGCTTCTCTTTCAAGGTATGAACGAAACACGCTCTGTAGCGCTGTTTGTTCGCGGTCGGCTATGGTAGAAAGGTGACGTCACAATATGTCGACTTTCATAGAAGGGGGTGCCCGAGGTTATGTAGATATAAATATCTCATTCTAAGGTAATAAAAACATGACGGTTCATTGAGTGAGGTCTTTATACACCACTGAACACATAGTTATGAATCTTATATTGCATTTTTGTCAATAGATACTCAGAAATATTACACACTGCACCTTTAAGGTTATGTAATAAGCCACAGTATAAAGTACATTTGGCAAATAAGCCACAACTATAATAAGGGATTGCAGAAAGAAATCTGTCTGAGTAATACTGACTGTTTCACACACACACGCACACAAAATTATACACTTCTGTTCAATATCCTGCTAAAATTGGTTTGTCAATACTAATAAATTATATCAAGACTTTATCACAGCATCATGTAGAGTGAGGTCTGAGAAGGTCAGTTTTAAGAGTTGGAGTGAATTCTGATACAGGTTTGTTGTAGGTCAGTTCAGGATGGTCTCTTACCGTATTGGCTTGTCTGGCCTCCTCAATGTAATGCGTTGTAATAATGACGGACACCTGTCCTCCTCTTACAATGTCTACCAGGTGCTGCCAAATCCTGAAAAAGTGGTTTGTTGCATGAGTTCAGTGCTTTTTTTTTTTTTTAAATGGGACTTCTGTCTTTATGAGATTTACATGTCTGCATTTGGCAGATGCTTTTATCCAAAGCATCTGCCAAATGCAAAGTATCCTTTTATCAGCACACACAGAATGAAACCTCTGAATCCACAAAGCTAACACAGCTGAGATTTGAAGTAAATTCAAATTCCTTTGAAGAATTCCAAGCCGTATGATGGTTTTCAACACTGATGATAATAATAATAATAATAATAATAAATGTTTCTAGATTAGCATATTATAATTATTTCTGAAGGATCATGTGACACTAAAGACTGGAGTAATGATGCTGCAAATTCAGCTTTGCCATCACAGGAATAAATTGCATTTTAAGAAAATATTAAAACAGAAAACTTTTATTTTAAATTGTAAACACAGCCTTGGTAAGCATTAATAGACTTCTTTCAAAAACTTTTTTAAAAAATCCTACAGAACCATAGGGTTTTTTTTTTAGCTACCACAAAGATAAACAAAAAAATGCTTGGGTTTATTTTGCAATAATAAATTGTAAACCAAAAATGCTGGTGTGCATGTTCCATGTTTTAACATATGTTGCTTTATTCCTTCAATTAAAAAATAAAAAATAAAATGACCAAACTTTTCAACGGTTGAGCATATGTAGTAAATTAATGCTCTTAGCGCAGTACACAATGCATAGGTTAGTATCTTACAAAGCAAAGCTCCCCAAAATGTTTGCAGGCTTAGACAGGCTTGGCCCATAGACTGTTGTGTAAGAGGATTTCAGCAGGGTTCAACAGAGTCCCACCGAAGCATATGTGATCTCAGCATAACATTTCACAAAATGTATCTTTTAAAACTAAATACAACAATATAGAAAATGTTTTGTTTGGTGTCAGCTTTTCTAATCAATAAAACATTCTAATTAATGAAGCCACTGATATCACATTCAGGGGGCTGCGGTTGAATATATTAAATATTTTTAGTAGTTTTCATTACACACCTGGATCTATGTTCTAGACAGTAACTGGGGTATCCTATTAACCATGCTAGAATGTGACACAGTGACCCTCTTTTTATCCATCTTTCCTTTGAGGCTACTGCTCCTTCTATATATTCTGTACTTCCTTTTGTTCATGAATCACTCAAACTCAAGACTAAATGGGGATTGTCTAAGAACTTACAGCATAAAGCTCCTTTTCTTGAAAAGTTTATAATGAGTTTTAATGGTTTGGAATCTTGGACCAATACATTGCAGGATAATCCTAGGTATGCCGCATACTCAAGCATTGTGAAAGGTCTTGTGAAAATGCACTGAAGCAAGCCTTTACATTTTTCTGGAATAATTATAATAATTATAATATTATAATAATAACTATATATAGGTTTTATTCTGCAGTGAACAACGGATACTGGGAAAGCCTTTAATCTAGGGGTCTCTATCTCAATTTAACTGGGGGCCACTGGAGGTAGAGTCAGGGTCAGGCTGGGCCGCATCAAGTATTCCAAAAATTAAACAACACATTAATATGATATTGAATGTTTTTTGGAAGGCACTTTTCCTTTTATTATACTTTGAAAAACAATTATTAGAATACAAATATTTGCAGTCATGTCTGCCCTTCTTATTGAATTTTTTCTGCACATGTATAGTGTCTCTACTTTACTGACTTTGCACAAATCAAAGCAAACCTTCTTATCAACCTGTTGGACACGTATTACAAGCTCAAAATGATTATTCTCACATTGTTTTAGAGCAGGGGTCTCCAACACGTCGCTCGCAAGATACCAGTAACTCCGGGCCTGATTGGTGGTAGCTCGCCAAGCGGGCCTGATCACATATCGCGCTCACATATTTTGTGCGCTTAAGTTCGTTATTTCAAATGTAGGCGTGCGGCAAGCGCTCATTTTTTTCCAGGCGCAGAATGTTTGTACTTCGTGGATGTTTATGACAACTATTGACAACAAACCAAAACCCACCGTAAGCTGTCACGAGACTATCTATGGTAGCCCATAAGAGATGGGATAAAAAAAAAAAGTCACAAACTTTATAAACAAAATATCACAGAGAATATCACACCACTCCTTTAATCTAATAGGAATGCCAAGAGGAATGGAACAGGTGTACATACAAGCTAAAATGTTGCGATGAAATGTCAGAGAGAGAGAGAGAGAGAGAGAGAGAGAGATCAGAAGAAAGGAGTGGTACAGCATAACAACCTCAGAGTCATGTTTTTAGAATGCAGTACAAGGTTCATCCACAACACACACAAACACACACTGGTAGTGCTAGTAGTTCAACGAGTGCATTGGAGAGTAAGTGAAGGGGATGGGAAGAAGCTGTGGAAGATAAAGATAAAGGTATGTAGTGCATACTTGGCCCGCAGAACAGGGTCCACTCCCACAGTGGGCTCATCCAGGATCAGTAGTTGTGGGTTCTGAAGCAAAGCAGCTCCAAGAGAAACACGCCGGCGCTGGCCTCCACTGAATAAAGTGAATAAAAATATATGTAAGTGATCAGTTATGAATTGTCATCAAAAAAATAAAATAAATGTTGTGGATGTTAAAAAACAACATTGCAGACACCTGTACTTGTTTACAATGAAACGTATTTTTCTACGAGCTGTAATTTAGTAAAAATTTAGAGAAATTAAAAGAAATTGCATAAGTAAAAAAAAAAAGATAATTTGTATGAAAAAAAATAAAATAAGTAGTAGTATAAAAAAAGAACAGATTGTAATAAAATATAAGCAATAACAAAAAGTGTTCTACTCTTATGAATTGACTAATGCTCCCTCATTTCCTTGGACCTGATGGAGTAGTGGACTCTGAATGGTGTTCAGTCCAAAGCAAGTTTTATAAACAATATTTGGCAAAGGAAAAGCTTCTTATTGCTAACACATTGAGCAGCCAACTATTACACTAAAAGGCTATAAATTAAAATTAATAAATTAAATAAATTAAACGATAATCAAATCACAAGGCATCACAAGACCTACCAGAACTCCAACTTAACTAACCAAACCTGTCAAAGAGAAACTGACTTGTGTGACAAACTAGTGTGATCTCTAAGAACTTCAGTTCCATTGTCTTGCTTTTCAGATGGATAACCCGTGCATAGAGCCAGCTCATTGCTATGAAAACAAAACCAGACAGACCTCACCCAGAGGACAACACCGAACTAAACGGTTAATGCTCCACATCACTCTGCCTTAGTGAAAGACAATTTCCTTTGTGTAGATAGGAACTTTCATTTTAAAATAATGTTAATAATGATAAATTATTTCTTATTTCCTCCAAACAGTGGACACACAAGTCACAAATAGCACAGAGGAATTAATTCATCTTTCACTTGATCTGCCAACATCTGTGTCAGATATATCTACAAATGTCAACAAACACACATTAAACAAGTGTAGTGTATTTACAATCTTTTTTTAGATTCATTCAGCTGTAATTGTCCATATAATACCAACTGTAGTCACATGACCATTTGACCCTTATAAGACCCCTATTTTTAAGTGAGCAATGACTATCCCTTTGATAAAAGTAAAAAACATTGCAACAATCATTGAATAGCACAAGTCATTCTACCTGAGATTTCTCACAAGGCTGTCTTTCTGCGGCAGGTCTAAGAAGTCGATGAGGAAATTGATCCTGGCCTCTGTGTCTTTAGATGATAGGCCATGAATTCGACCGTAAAACCATAGTGTGTTGTTGATAGTGAACTCATTGTACAGAGCTATGTCCTGAAGGCAGATAGAATGAAAAAACAGAAAGAGAAAAATATGCGAGACTCAAGAGGACTCACTTGTTAAAATAATCATGCACTAGGTTTTGTGGGCACACTAGTCTCTTCTTATCTCTCACCTGTGGCATGTATCCCACCATCCTTCCTGGCACTTCATGTCCTGGGAAAGCTGGTGGTTTCCCCAGCACTGAGATATGACCATGAGAGATCTTTAGAGTTCCCACAATGCATTTCAACAGTGTAGTCTTCCCACAGCCACTTGGCCCCAGCAGCCCATAACTAAACACGGGGGGTGGGGACACACATATCCAAAGAACACGTCATTCCTCCACAGAACATTAAGTATGATAAGTAATTCCAATCATTCAGGCGGGAATAATTAGGTCAAAATATATAACAGCAGGGGTTAATAAGATTTAAAAGTATAGACATACAATGTTACAAAAGTTTTCTTTTTCAAATAAATGCTTTTTGAAATTTCTATTCAATAAAGAATCCTGCAAAAAAATATATTACAGTTACCATAAAAATAACATGCAGTACAGCAGTTTTAGAAGATCATGTGACATGAGACTGATGTGGAAAATTCACAGGGATAAATTACATTTTAAAATATATTCAAATATTCAAAAATAGTTATTTTGAATGTAATAACCAAGTACTGTAATAATAATTACTGTAATAAATTATTATATTTATATTTCACAATATAACTGCTTTAATGCATTCTTGTCCAAATAAATGCAGGTTTTACTTTCGAAAACAAACAAACAAAATGACAGGCTCCAAACATTTGACATCTGAAATAAAGTTAGAAACAAGCAACAAAATTACAGACTCATGTGCTCAAAAGACACATGGTTGATAGAGATGTCTGTGAGGGGATTTAGGAGTAGAAAGTGAGAAATGTTAAAATAATACACAGAGATCACAATGTTTTGAATGGAAATTTCTGGAAGATGCAGTTTTACAAACCTAATTTGATCCATTTCCGTTCCGACAGCCAGCTAAATATATCAGTCATTGTTGCAAGGAAACAACACTTGCGCAATATTTTAAAACAAAGCTCAGATAAGACTTCAGTAGACCATGAACAGATGATAAGACAGATCAGCACTGCAGTAGATCATAAACAGATGATAAGAGGATAAGATAACAAAAGAAAGTTCAAGCTGCTACTGCAGTTCCATCGCATTCACAGATCGAAAGCCAGGTTATAGATTCTCTAATCCCCATGTATAAAGTATTTAAGAGTTTTGTTGTATTACTATTGGAGAACGCCTAAAGGACGAGGCAGTGGAGACATATGAATGCATGTGTGTGACATGTTTTCCTGCATGGTATAACCTAAAGACAATTATAAACACACTTATAATGAGAATATACTGGACTCACATTTGGCCCTGAGGTACTGCCAGGTTGAGATTGTTAAGGACTTTAAGTTTCCCATATGAGCGACACACATCCAGACAGTGGATTGCAGCGCTGCAACTCCCGGCCTCCAAGTCAGTCTTCATAGTACCGCTCTCCAAACTCTACATATAAACAGAAGACAATTAGCTCAAAATAAATATTTTGACAAAACAACATATAGCCAAAACAGCTTAAAAGAAGCAAAAAGTAAGCAGGAGATAATTCACATTTCTACAAATACAGCATTGACCAAAAGTGTAAAATGAAATATCTTTTTTCTGTTGTCTATAACAGTGGTTCTCAACTGGTTTGGTTTGGGACTCATATTTTCCCATTACCATAATATATATATATATATATAGTGATGTGAATAAGTTTGGACCCCCATGCTAAAGTTGCCTAAAAAGAGGAATAAAAAAATCATCTTTTGGATATTGATCTTAATGCCTTAATTAGAAAAATGAGGAAAACTCCAACCTTTAAGGACACAAATTTTCTTTGTGAATGAATGATGTATCATAAATAAATAAATGTTTTAATGTTAAATTAATGTTAAATTCCCATAGAGTCAGGCAGATTTTTATTTTTAAAAGCCAGTTATTTCATGGATCCAGGATTAAATGCATCCTGATAAAGTTCCCTTGGCCTTTGGAATTAAAATAGACCCACATCATCACACACCTTCCACCACACCTAGAGATTGGAATGGGGTAAAATTAATAGTATATTTGTGGGCTTTAATTCAAAAACGTTTTGGTGGTGTAGCTGTAGGCTGACTGGATATTGTAAATAAGAAAAGGCCCATTAAAATGCTGACACATCAGTGTGACAGGTCCAAAATGAAAAAAAAGTTATATACACTTATTTTTAATTTTGTTGTGTACACTCATACACTACAGGTGTAACTGCACAGTATTTTTCCTACTTCAAACTTTAAATTTTAGAGTCATTAAATAAAATATAGTCTAAACGTTTTGTTTAGAAAATGTATAAAAACACAACAATTGGTGTTCCAATTGCTTGAATACAGGGTTCTCAAGTCTCACGCATTGGCCGTGAGACACACTCATTTCGACCGGTTCACACGCTCACACGCCACACTGTGTATTTCTCACGCTGAAAAGGCAATGCCAACCAAGTTGTCCTGGCTGAAAGCTTTCTAACGTTGTATAGTAACGAGGCACAGGCAAACAAAGTGAAGTTTCCTGCCGCCAGCGCGTATCTCCGCCAGATTGCGTTCGTTACTAGGCAACATATGCGCGCTGCGTGCACCACTGATCTATACATGACATGTCATTCAGTAGCGCGAACACACGGAAATGGACGGAACATCCTCGGCCACCGTACGTTCGTTACTAGGTAACCAACAACATCGCGCGAACACATGTGTCGTGATGGAGAAGAAGGTAAGTTGGAAGAAGCTCGTCTAACCTTTTTGGGCTAGAACATTTAATATGTAGCCCATCGTACATTATTATTGATGCAGTCAAAAACTCTACAACTACTTTGCAACCAGGCTCAGTTTGGCTATCTTACGTTATCTGAAACTAAGAGAAATCTTAGTGGGTATGGAAAGGAATGAAGATTTACTGATTTTATTTTAAATTATATTATACTGTAATATTAATAGTCTTTCTAGTTACATTAAGGATGTATTACAGCAGATTGCTCTGGGTAATATTTAATCATTGTCATAATGTTGCATTTGTATTTTTCAAAGATGTCAGGAAAAAAGCAGAAAGATATTATGTCATTTTGGGCACCGATTTACTAATTGTTATAATTTTAATTTGTTCTGGTTAATTATGAACAATGGGTAAAATTGGGGGCGGGGCTTCATTATGGCTCCTCCCCTAACCGCGTGTGATCTCACTCCAAGCTTTTGCTCAAACTTGAGAACCCTGTGAATATGTATTTTAAAGTAGGTTATTTATATTTCATTTGTCATCGACTCATGCGTTTTCATTTCTCGTTTATAGAATCCTGCTCACAGAATGTTTAAGGTGATGATGTGAAAAGAAAACAGTCTACAAGAACCGTTCGAATGGAGCTAACGCTGCCTTCACACTGGCAGTTGAAATCAGCTCCGTAATACGCAATACGTTCCCAACGGACGTCGTACACAGTGAAAAGCGTCGGACGCGGGTAGAACAAAAATGGCGGAGAGATTAAAGTTTGATTCTGTCAGTTCTGTATGATCTCTCTGATTAGGGTTTATGCTGCGTGAGGAAAGTTGCTCAGGACGTTGACATGTCAGGTCGGCTAAAAAATGTGATATAGTGGTCAATAGTTCAATGTCTACCTTCAATTTAATTGTATTAACTGCCCTTATAAACGTTAGAAAGTCATGAAAATAAAAAATGACATCACAACTTATCGTTATAAAATCAATATTTATTTTATTAAAAGTTAATAATTCAGGTTTGTTTATCAGTACCATAGCAACGGTCAACTTCCGCTGGAATTGTCGGATAGGAACCGCCCGTAGCTTTTCGCACGAGTTCAAATTTTTGAACGCATCCGGATGACCAACGGACACGATTTTCTTCGCACCGCACTCGGTCGGACCCGTTTCGGACCCATTCGCATGCGGTCTGCGAATCTCCATAGGAAATGAATGACTTCCGGTCGTTTCGCAGCCGCATCGGAGCTGATTTCAACTGCCAGTGTGAAGGCGGCGTAACTTGGAAGTCAGCTGACAATTTCGTTTCAACATAGCAATTTTGAGCAGCTGAACTGGTTTGGTATTCAATATCTTCATTGTCTAGAGGAAGTCCCTCCCTCTGTCACAGCAGCACCTGCATGAAGCTTCACGAGCAGTTTGGGTCCTTCAGACAAACTTTCCAACAACTTCCCTTTTTACATGCAACCATCAGTGATATAAAATGTTATTTGTACGTTAAAATATGATTAAAGACAAATTACAACAGATTACAAAGCATTAGTTTCTACAAGTTTCTATGCAAGTTCAAATGAGCGTCTGTAGTCTGCATTATAAAAACACTAAACAGCCGTTTAAAAGATTATAACAATCTACAAAAAACGTAGAAAGAAAAAAAAAGATTTTATACCAAGCCGCTTTACAATCTTTGAAGAAAAATCACGTCGATTAAATGAACAGTCCAGCTGCCCGTTCGGGAAAGACGGTCTATTCTGCCTCAGCTTTATATCATGACAGGTGCAACACCAACGATGCGCAGCGTTTGTTGCTGTTCTTGATATTTTGCCTCCTCCACCAGTTTACCGACAAGCCCCGCCTTCTGAGCAGTTTGCCTCACTAAACCAATCAGCTTCTGAGAAGCTTCACAAAAGAGGTCTGTGATTGGCCAGTTGTGAAGTAGCCATTGCAGTGGTAACATAACCGAACAACATAACTGACAGAAAAGGGAATACGGGGGGGAAATAACGCGGTTGCATACTGTATTTCTACAGCCTTAACACAATAAAGTAAGAAATCAATTAGTGATAAAAACTTACAATCTTAACTGAGGGTTATATTAACGCGGTATGTTGCTGCTTCTTAGTGATGGGGAGTCTGGTTCAGTCACGCGAGTCGGTTCTTTTGAACTGTTAATTTTAAAGAACTGGATCAAAACCCGATAAAGAAATTATTTTACGCCCTGACCATAGACTGTAAAAAGGTCCTGACCTACAGTCTATATACGTTACAACGGCATATTAACACGCTTTAAAACGCCCCAATAATTATATGGCAAAGCTGTTTATTACATTTTATGAAGACGGCTATAGCTGTTTGTTTTAGTGTGCTTCCCAGATCAATTTGTTGCAATCATGATATAACGCATAAAACAAGTCATTTAGAACCTAAATATAATTTGCATTTACGTAATATTAAAATTAATTTACACATCTTTGCTTAAATGGTTCTTACGTTATGCGAAACGCCGTAACTATGTTCCTTCTGCGTTGACGCTGCCATTTGTTACTTTTATTTCACCGTATATTTATAATTATTTTAAATGGTTCAGCCGATTCAATTAGAAGACTCGAAAGAACGATTCGTTTGGACTCTGACATCTAATTACATCCCGCTTCTGCGTCATGGGACGTACTGCAGTAGCAGAGAAATTCGTCTTCTGGGCTCCAGCCACCACATTACATCTATAAACATTACAAACACGAATGAACGCCTGTCGAAAATCAGTTTATGATTGCTCTAGGATTTCGAGTCTCAAAAAGAGACCATGAAAATCACGTAGGCTAGCCTACATTACATCGTCTGCAAATTGACAGATGTGTCGTATGATGTGCATGCTCTGTTAGTGTAAAATGGAAGCATACAAATCAAGAAAAACAAAAACTCACTCTTTGCTGCATCTCTGTGCTGTCGTTAAGTGCTTCCTCGGTTCCCTTACCGGACATGATCCCCCGAACGGCGATCAAGATGCGGCCGGCGAGGAGCAGTTCTCGGTTCAGTGCGCGCAGATAACCGGGTTAACTCATTCTGCTCCAGATCAGATTATAAATTAAATCTATAAAGGCATATGGGTCGTTTGAATAGCATTCAAAATTCAAAAAGATTTGTGATCACCTGTGAATCTTTTCTCTAATAGCCTACAGAGTCTCTCATTCCGACAGCTGCTATTAGTCTAGCTGTCAGTGGCGCCTCCAGAAATTTTTCGTAGGGGTGGCCAGATGGGGCCAGTTAAAATCTTGGGGTGGCACACCAAAACTACAGTATAAACCATAATTTCAGAATTCTTTTCTACTGTTGTAATAAACCAGCCTGTAGAAAACTATCAGAAAGACTTAAGGAAACTCCTACTGATATACTTTGGTTTATTGTGTAATATTTAATGTTACTAATGATATTAGTAGGGCCCAACTAATATATATTACATTGTATGTAATGATATATATTATATTATATATAAGGGTCCTTGCCCCACAGCAAATTTCCAGATACTTACATAATTGTGATGAATTTAATCATTTTTAAGTTATTAGTTTGCAGTGTAACATTACAGTTAACACCTTTAAATATTACATAAATGTATTATGAATTTTTAATACACTTAATGAGTGTATACATCAGCAGCAAAAAGTAATTCTTGAAAAAATCTGCACAGTAATTTTATAAAATCTAAATATGTTAATAAAAACAAATTACTATTAGTTCTCTTTTAAAATTCAATCAGGCAATCATGTCACAATTTTATATTTATATATTACTGTCAAGAATTCAGAAGTGCATAGCCTAAACTACAAATAAATTATATACAATTAAATTATGCTTATTTAAAATGTATTGAGCAGGCTAGGTATAACAAAATATATTGGCTTTTAATAATATTTCAGTGCGCAAACCCATGATTGAGCCCGTTCTTGCATGATTACATGAAAAACATCGCGGGTGCAGAATGATGTGCTCAAAGCAACATGGAGTCACAGTGTGCAGCAGCACTGCGCTTCATAAATGTGCATTTAAAAGCTCATGTCACAAATCGAAAAAATGTTGAGCACACAAATCCAAGTGCGATTTGTTCCTTTGTTTCACAGTTATTGTGCGTTTGATGCCGATTCATAATCCTTGTGATATGTATGTGTGATCTAACAGAACACGCCGGTGAGTCGCTTAAAAACCGCAACAAACTCCAAGAAAATAAAGTAATTTTATGCGAATATACAGACTTTTATCTACAGATCATGCATTTATAATGTCAATATATCATATTGGAGAGAGTTTTACCGTGCATCCAAGAGGCACGCGTGCTGTTTGAATATGAATGGAGGATGATGACAGTCGCAGAGGAGGGAAAACGAGTTTATACTTTAATGATGTAAATATACTTCTGTACCTCACATTAAGCTATGGAATGACTTCAGATGACTTTGTCACCCAAACTGACGTGAAAAAAGCGGGAGGCGCCGAAAAGCGCGCTGTTTGCATCCCCTGTCCAAACGTGGCAAAAAACACACCTAAAAGCTGCTGTATACCATTTGGCACTTAAAAAGCACGTCACGACACATAATTCCCCGTCTTCTTTTACTTAAGAATATTTTTGACTTATTTATAAAATGCATAACTGATGCTACAAAAATTAATACTGGCCATTGGGGTGGCCAATGGGGTGGCCAGGAGTCGGCCAGGGGTGGCCATGGCCACCCCTGGCCACCCCCTGGTGGCGCCATTGCTAGCTGTGCAACCAGGTCGTTTTCCTCTTGGGAAAAAGCACTCTGGAGTAACACGTTATTTGCATGAAACATGGAGTCGGAGACACAACAAATAATGTAAGGGCATGTAAAAAGCAGATAAGTAGGCTAGGGGAGAGCAAGAACAAGATTTAACATATTAAAAAAGATTGAGAAATAAACTGATATAGTAGCATTATTGTATACAAACGGGAGAAAAGTACAGAAAATACATAGACACTTGGAAACAGCAATTCCCTCCAGATACATAAATCACAAGAGAAGAAGCTAAACATTTCAGATTGGCTACCAACAGTACCGGGCAAATCTTATACACTGAAACCATTGAAAAGGGAATAACTAGTTTATCTGCCTTTTTATTGTTAAACTTCAAAATGCAAATTTACAACAGAAGACAAAGACACAAATTCCTTTATACACTCTTTTCCACAGGAACAGTACAAACTATTTCAATCATTTCTTTAAGACGTCATAGAACTGCTGTATATTCATATTATACCAGATTGTGCAAAAGATCCACCTTTAAAATAATTCAGTGAAAAGACATTGATAAGACAAAAACAAATCACAAATAAAAAAAAGCAGACACACACATACGCAGTTCCCTTATTGAAGTTCTAAAAATTAAATGATATAATCTTCTCGTGTGCTTGTCAGTTGTGGGAAAATAAAATAAATAAAATTACTAAACTAAAGGCAGTAAAAAAGAAACGATGGTTAGAATATCAGGGCAATTCAGTACTACACTGAATAAAGTGTACAAGAACGTAAAAATTGATCAAAATGAGTTAAAGGAAGTACTGAACTGAATAACATTTAAAACAATACAGAGAAATAAAAAGAAAAGCACATATTAATGTGTGTGTGTGTGTGTATAGCAACCAGGAGTCAGTATTGACTTAAATCAGGAATGGGCAATTTCGGTCTTTAGCTCCTAAAGTTTAGCTCCAACCCTGATAAAAATGCACAGGCCAGCAGCTTTCTAGTAATCCTGTAGACATTGATTAGCTTGTTCGAGTGTGTTTGATAAGGGCTGGAGTTAAACTCTGCAGGAGAGACTCTTCAGGACCAAAGTTGCCCATTCCTGATTTACAGGCTCAGATTTCAAGTAGTAAAATGTGCAATTCTGCATTTCACAGAGTGAAAAGTACTCACATTTTCACAAACAGCACTCAAAAATAAAATCATAAACACATGTATCAGACATTAACAGTAAATCTACTGTTCTAAATACTGTGTATAAAAGACAGGTGAGTCTATTTTCTGCTGGAACATTTTCACACATAACAGGGCGATTCAATTCACCTAAACAAAAAAACCTGTAATAACTGCAGGAGTGGAGAAATAGGGAGCTTTTAAAAGGTTACTTTTTTATATTAAATGGGATTTTTTTTTTTTGAAGAAACGATGACTTGATCTGTTTGTTTTTTTGTAGCTGTCTATGAACTGAATAAATGATGATGCCATAATGACTTTGAAATCTTTGAAAGGTGATTGGCTGATACCGTGTTTGGTTATATTTGATTGGCTGCTGGAGTTAGAATGGAGGGGAACATTAAAACCCTGGCCTGCATGAAGGAGAGGTCAGGGAGAAGAGAGATGACCTTTGCTGCTTCCTCGCTTGTCTTTTCCTCTTTTTCTGGCCTCCTGTCAAACACACACAAAAAGAGCTTTTTCTCAGACGTTGACCTTTCTAGCACTCTAGCAGTAAACAGGCATGTAGTTGCACTCAACATGTTATGGCATGCTAAGTATATGCAGTGCATGCATCTCACCTGGCTGTTGTAGTTTTCTCCATAGACTCCATGAGTTTTGTAAATGCATCTGCAATGTTGCGACCAGTGGTGTTTTCAATTTTAGCAGTAGTCAGTTCATATATCTCTGGATCAACACCTAAATAAATGGCGAAAAATAAAAACTAAAATAAAGGAGACACAAATATGCACACACACATTCAGTTATCATTTTGTTTAAAGTGCTTAAACCTTACAGTTCATTATACCATCAGTAACGACAATGAGACTACAGACAGGATCTCAGAAACAGTAAAATCAGTTCATGCGAGACTATCCTTTCTTCATAAGACTTAAAGAATTTCCCAGACAAATAAAAGCAAAACACTATCAATAGTGCATTAAATTAAAGGCAGAAAAACAGAGATACTCACACTGGCAGATACCGTAAGCAAGTCCAGAGAGCGGAAATCAGGGACAGAACACTAGAGTACGAACAAATGCTAAAGATGACAAGCTTCCCTAAAAAGTTGATTTTGAAATTACAGACACAAGGAAAAAGGAAGAAAAGAAGGTTTCACAGCAAGCCAGTCGAGGGGAACCCTTTCTGTTCTGACCTGGTAGTGGAGTGTCATTTTCACTATCTGAGCTACATTCATCCACAGGCCCAAAATAGTCCAAATTTAGCACTGAGATTCCACCATCTTGTGTTTCACATGAGAGCCACATCAATGACAACAAGACATGGAGGGTTAGTGTGTTGTTAGTAGCTCAGGATATTGACAATATATCAACACAAGTATATACAGTATATTACTGTTCAAAAGTTTGGGTTCTTTTTGGAAAGAAATTAATATTTTTATTCAGCAAGGATGTATTAAATTGATCAAAAGTGACAGTGAAGTGACTTGTACATTGGTACAAAAGATTTATATTTCAAATAAATGCTGTTCTTTTAAACTTTCAATTCATCAAAGAATTAAACACAAAAATATTGTGCATGACCAACTTTTTTTAAAATTTTGATAATAAGAAATGTAAGCATATTAGAATGATTTCTGAAGGATCATGTGACAACAGTAGTGTAGTGGCTGCTGAAAATTTTGCTTTGCCATCACAGGAATAATTACATTTTAATATAAAAATAGTTATTTTAAATGTTTTAATTTGCCTAATATTACAGTTTTTACTGACTTTGATTTTTGAAATAAATTCTGAATTTGACAGCAAATCTTACAGACCCAATCTTTTGAATTGTACAGTGTACACATGTACATAAGAGCAAGAAAAGGAAAAGGCAGTTCAGCACCAGAAAACTTTTATTAGGAGTGACAAAGCAGGAAAAGATTAGACTGGAGATGAAAGCAAGAGATGAACTGTCGTGTAATATATTTATTGACAGATTTAATAACCACTTGGTTCAACATAACTGGAAAAAATTACTATCCAGATAGAGCTCAAGGTCAACAATTTTGGTTAAAGAAATTTTCTTAATACCATTTAAGTTTGACATTTGCGACATAATGCTGATTATCACTGAAAATAATTGACTTATCCCTCAATATAAAAAGCTAAAATATCGAGGCGATTGCAATTGAAGGAAGCCTTAAAATACACAGCTTAAAAAACAAAATATAGCCACAAAATATAAAAACATAAAAAATTTTCAACAAAATTAAATAAGGGATGAGTTGAAATTATTTTCTGTCATAATCAATTGTAACTGTCAACATAGTACCACAAATGCCACAAATTCTGTTGACTGAGCTTGTAATGAATCCAGAACATTCCCTCAAGATTGAGAAGAAGTGGTATATCACAGTTTTGCAAGTTAAGTTGGTCAAAAAAGTGCATTAATTAATGTTTCACTGCTAAAAAGGACAACATCATACATTAAAAGACTGTGTAACAGAAATCACCACCTAATTAAATAATTTTAAAACAGCCTCTCAGTAAGTAGTAGCATCTGTATGTAAATCTTTGAAAATATGGTGGTGTTCCCTCTTTAATCTTAGCCAAAGAGGGCTACACAATGGCTTCAAGTAAGCACCAGCAGTAAGGTCAGCTATTCCAAAAAAGATATCTTTTTTAGTCAAACCTGAGACAGTAGCTGGTGCATAGGGACTAAATTGGTTGTCCTTTTGACAACACAACTGAGAATGTATTTAATATTGGGTAAAGTTCTCTTTATCTCAAGTCTTGCATATAATGGCAAGGTAATAAACAACTGCATATGAAGCTGCATACTTATAATCTGAGGTAGTACACTTCGGCCTCTGTGTGTACATGAGTGTGGACAACATAGTGACATGGACTTTCAGATGCAGAACAAGAGAGGAGATAGGCAAGACGTAAACACAAACTAACATATGAAAGGGAACTGATTATCTAAGATTAACTGATTTGTATCTTTGCTGAATGATGACTGAATAGTGTTTCACTTTTGAGAAGAGGAAAAGAAAAGAGTTTCCTGTTCTTTGGATTATAAATAGAATTTGGGCCGTTACTTTTCAAACTGTTCTGCAAATGCTAGTTTGGTGTTAAATCAACATTGATAAAACAAACATACAGGAGAGAAACTTTTCTAAGTGGTGTCACTGGTGTGTGACATGTGAAGGAAACAGGAAGTTTGAAAAATGGAGAGAAGAGTGTGGTGAGAGAGTAAGGAAGTGCTCAGACAGGGATGATAAGCGAGACAGCATCAGGAGTAGGATTTCTGCCGTGAGTGGCGAGTGGCTTTTTCTTGAACTCTAGAGAAGGAGGCACGGCGAAAAGACGTACCGTCAATACTAATGGCCAAAGAGGACGCCACCTGCAGCACAACAAATGTAGTTTAGCAAGCATACAAAGTAGGGTAGTCGACTTTAATACTCTGCCAAGATGATTTGAGCTTGACGACGACTAGTCGCTGATCATGGCCTATAGAGGGCGCAACGGCAAGTCCACTTTTACGCTCCGTTTCCAACAGTTAAAATGACAAATAAATAAATGCATACTCCGAGAGCACTCCACATAATATATTTGATTATACCATCTGGATGGTCAAAATTTATCAGGTGAATGCACGTTTTAAACAGATATTTGTACACATAAGTTATTCGCCGTTCTAAACTAATGCGCTGCTGCATTATAAAACACGCACACTGACAGTAGCCTATTTCTCGCATATCTCTTGCAGATCCTGCACACACAGAAACATAAGTAGCGCTTAAATGTATTGTCTCTCTCATTAATGCATGTATATAAATGAAACCTTTACTGTGCTACCTTATCTGCATTTAGAATGAGCAAAAATCTGTTAAACATATAACGAACCAAAGACAAAAGAACTGATAAAAATAAGCTGTTATGTAGGAGCGCTGTGTCATATGCAATAGCTGAGCACAAGGCAACCTGTGTTCGAGACTCAGCTCGAGGTTAAGTCTTATTTGATCATTAATGACGTCATCAGCGACTAGTCGACTCGACTTTAATCACATAAATGTTCATTTAAAAAAAAATTTGGTTGTTCAACCCTTAATACAAAGTACTTATAATCAACTTTTAATAGTGACAAAATGTCCAAGATTTACAGAAAGAAGATTAGATCATCATTAATATATCTGCATCTTTATATCTAGATAACTAATATCCATGTGCATGTCTGCGCTTCTCACCTGAGTGCATAGAATATTTCCACTCTCCACAGAAACAGAAGGGGAAAGTGCAGGGGAGGCTGGAGATTTTTGAGACTCTTTGGTGGGTTCCAGCATTCCCTGAGAAGAGGGACAGATGCTTGGTGAAAACAAAACAAAAATCACAAAAAGTATGATACGCACTAATGTATCAAAAATATTAAGACTTTTATTCATCAAGAATACAAGTTAATTTAAACAGTCTATTGATAAAACAAACAGTTTTTCATTAAAACATTGATCATCACAACTGATAATAAGAAATGCTTAATGATCAGCAAATCAGCATAATTTATTTGAATGACTGAACTATGAAGGATTATGTGACTGAAGACTGGAGTAATGATGCTGAAAATTCAGCTTTGCCATCTCACAGGAATAAATTACATTTTAAAATATGTTAACATAGAGAACAGTTATTGTAAACCGTAATAATATTTCACAATATTATGTTTTTGCTTTTTGGGGTTTAGGGCTTCACTCACCAGTCCAGCAGCAAACATAGGCACGATCACTGGCTGCTGCTTGTCTCCAGTGAACAACTATTAGAGGGAAAAAAAAAAAAAATCAATCATGTAAATCACTAAAAAGAAAGGAATAGTAAAAAGTTAGTACTAATTAGTCACAACTAAACCCTGTGACTGTTTATTTATCAATGTTTACTGAGTAGAAATATACTTTACATGAGAGAGAAACCAGCTGTAATCAACAATACTGCATGTCTATGAGGTATGTACTTTCAAGAACTCACAATATTCCTGATTCCTAGGCAATCCAGAAGAATTCTGTTACTATGGGAACCTGCCCACTTGAACTTAAGGCCATGACTGCTGTGGATCTCCTGAAGGTGGCACCACAAGGCCAATGAATTCCTGCCGAAATTAAAATGAAGTTATTTCCCAGGAACTGGTCGAACCAAACACACAGGATATATTTTAACTCCTATTAATAGAAACCGCCTCAGGTTAAAAAATAGAGATCAAGTTTCAAATAAGAAATATAGTCGCATTGTTACATATATTAAGTCACAATTACAACAAATGAAGTCACAATTGTGAGATATAAAGACTTATTTTCTACAGTGAGGATAGGTTTTCATACAAGCAAGCTCAAATATGCGACTATATTCTGGAAATAAGTGCAAAAAAGTCTTAGAAGCTTGTAGTCAAGATGAGACTCTTACTCCTGTGCCCTTTGCTCCTGAGGATTCTGAGCCTGCAGGAATTTGTGGAGGGGCAGAACCTCAGTGACCCCGCTGACATCAGGATGGACATCTAAAGGGAAGGCGGTTCTGAAGAGATGCTGTAATTTGCAGCAAAACTCAGCCTGTGAGATGAAAACTCAGGTTGGAGTTCATTTACATTTTATGTTTTAAAATCCGTCAATCAAACTGCAATTCATTTTAACAAAAATGGATTGCATGAATAATGATTAACATGTAAATGACTCACAGTGCTACCCTGGAGGTCACCACTAGAGGGCGATGTTGAAGTCTCAACATCTAGTTCTTCTTTACCCAGGTAAGTAGTCTGTTCCTCCCCAAATGTGGCCCATGAATCCTGATCCACTTTTGTGCCTTCATTGGGTCCAAATGCAGTCCAGTTGTCTTGCAACTCCTCCACTCCTCCAAATGGAGCTGCACTAAAGTCGGCAAAACTGTCACTGGGAGGCAGCTCAGAACAAAAAGCTCCTTCATCGCACGCTGCTTCCTCAGCCAGCTCGTCGTCCTCCTTGAAGTCCTTCAGGGTGTCCGTGTCACCAAACTCATCATCCGTGGAGCACCTGGACATCGCTGTGACAAATTCAGGAAATCCTTCTTGTGTTATAGATTCAGTCCGGCTGAAGTCCGAGAAACCCTGAGATGCATCTCTGAAAGCGCCAAAATCCTTGTTCGCCGTGTTTGCAAACGATCTATGAATTTCCCTTGTGTCTCCACTTATCTGAGTGTCAGAGATTAGATCTACATCCATGGAGGGGGCCGTCTCTGCTTCGGCTATGTCATCACAGTCCACAGACCCTTCATGTTGACCACAAACAACAAAGTTCTTCGTTTGTTTATGCTCACCTTCAGGTTCTTGTGCATCTCTACAACTAAACAACTTGGAGTCGCCACAAACCTCCAGTCTGACTTCCGTCTCTTCAGGTTCAGATGCTTCTTTATGGGATGAGTGATTGTTTGAATCAGGCAGGTTGTCCGTTTTGTTGATCAGCTGGTTTCCAACTAACACATCAACTACGTTGACGTCCAGTCCAGAGTGTACTTCAGTGTCCGTGCTTTGTAAGCAGGTGGAAAGAGCTCTGTCCAGCTCTGAATTTGCACAAGACTCACTGTATCCATTACTGAGGACGTGTCCATCACTTGAAATGCTGATTCGGACATCAGGAAGTATCGAGGGAGTGTTCTGACCATGTTCAGCAGAGAGTGCCTTCTGATCGAAGGATGACAAATTTGTGACCGTCTCAGATAATTCCTGTTCTGTTTTCTCGACACTGCTAATTGATTCTCCTACCATTTTTCTCTCGTTAGCCCATCCACTCTTCCCTGATACAGCGACATTCTGTATAGATTTGATGTACAGGTCAGGTGGAGATTCATCCAGCGCGTTTGATTGGTTGAAGGTTGTGGGCGTGTCGATGTCTGAGGAGCTGAAACTGGATGACACTCCTCCGCCATCAAAACCCCCAAACTCACCAAACTCACCAAACTCATCCTCCTCTTCTTCCTCTCCAGCCTCATCCAGTGGAGGGGGAGAGGAAGAGTACAGACGGATGACATCGGGCTCCATGGTCCTCTTGCGCCACCTGTGGCCACATGCACACACACCCCTTGAAAAAAAGGGGAGAAAAGACAAAAACAATTATAGAAAACTTGAGAATGTTTTATTATCATTATTGGTCAAGAACAAAATTCGCTTTCATCCAGCAAAAAAAAAAATATAATAACAGTGACTGACCCCCCATTTAGCCGAAACAATCCCCTCTTTTGATTAGCATAGACACGCACCTTATTAGATATTATAATTAGACATTTTATACACATCTGCACCATGAAATGCTAAGAGCAAATAATACAACAGCCAAATTCACTAGCATCAGCAGTACATTTCTGATATTTCTGGATTTTGAAATTTATATATATATATATATATATATTTTTATATATATATTTGAATTGAAACAAAAAAAAATTACATTTAATTTTTTTAAGAGAACTGTATCAGCTCTCTTTGTTTAGGAATGTTTCTTTTCCTCCTCTGAATTATAAGCCCTTATAATAGCCCAGTTTAAAGAAGTAAACACTTCTTAGCTTGCATAAGCACCAAAATGACCTGCAATTATTGACTAGGATCAAAGGATCTGACAGGTCTCACATGATGGTTAAAGTAAAAACAGCTACTAATATTTAACTGTTTGTCTACAGATTCATTACCCTGCCTGGTGTAGAGTATAACAGTGGTGCAATAAGGAAAATCAATAATAGTGGAAATATGCAAATTCACTTTTCACTAGTTTTAGTAGGTTTATGTTTCTTGATTCTAGTTTCTGACAACATACAATACTATTCTAGCTATGTTTCCATCCAAAAATGCGACTGTAACTTATGCACAAAATGGGAATATCACATAAAACATTTGCGAATAAAGCAGCTTTTCCATGAGTCGAAGAGAACAAAATCATCACTTCCAGGTAAATTGGCACTAAATATAATTCACACCAGGAAAGTTCACTAGTTCACTTGCTTTGGTCCGAAACAAATACAATGTTGATTTTTGTTTATTTGGTGTGGTTCGCTTCACACTGCCGTTTTTGCATGTGAACCAACATTTGTAAACAAAACCACATGTGTGCTAAGGTCATCCATTCATCGGACAGATTCGAACCGTACCAGGGTTTGTTTGAAACTGGTCCAAGACCACCTCTTCAGCTGAGTCTCAGTATAGTTGTTTGGTCCGCACCCAAGTTTTTAGTTGCTGTATTCACACCTGCCACACCAAGTGGGGGAAACGAACTTGAGTTTTATTCAATCGAGCCCAACAAGACAGGTATGAATACACAAATGTAGGAGAAGCCATTGTACATAATTATTTTCATATGTAATAAATTACTTGAGTCTCAGAGCGTACAGACGAAAACAAAAAACGCATTTCCGAGGAAGATGACTGCTGTTTGGGAACGCAATCGTGTAAGACAGTTCTGGAAGGTAATTATACAGAACCACTTTGACACCAGACTTCAATTTCATCAAAAGTGATTAAAATTACTACAGTGAATGAGTTTTTTTTTCCTTTTTATGAAATAAAGTGAGTATATTGCCTAAAAAACGTTTTTAAAAATCCTTAAATGACTTTTAGCATAAAAATGTAACCTAATGTTTTTGTTCGAAACAAACATAGACTGGTCAATCTCTGTATGACCACAGCAGTCTTTCCAGTTTGATCATGGGGGTACAAAAAATCCCCCCAAACTGGTTTTGTGGATGGTGCTGGACCACTATCCTAGTTATTTTCCTTTCAAAAAAACATTTAAATGGTGGATTGGGCTAAATCTGAATTTTAGGCAGTAGATGCATGGAGTTTTTGTCCTTCAGTGTTTGAACTCCAACTCGGAGTCTGTGCTGTTTGTCTCAGAGTACAAAGGAAGTGGATTGGGTTTCCTCATCAGTTTACATTCCCTTCAAAGAGGACATATCAGCATTTACACAGTGTGCATGTGTATGTGAGCGTGTCTGCTTGCCTAAGGCAAACAAAATACTCCAGTATATGGGCTAGTAATCAAACTATTTCAAATTATATTGGCCCAAAGTCACATCAGTGTACTTTTGTGCTTGTGTAACAAGACATCTACTGTATAGGGAAATTTCCAGACAGTGATTTTCCAGAATCAAAGAGCTTCTGTACAGTTTACGTGTAGGTAAGAGTGCACTTTAAACTTGACTACAAGTTTGTGTACCCTCTTTAAACACGCACAAAAACCACAGTATATGCTACAGTTCAAAGGTTTGGGTGGGGGGTGGGATATAAATGAATACTTTAATTCAGCAAGGATTACTTAAACTAATCAAAAGTGATGGTTAAACACATTTATAATGTTCTAAAATATAAATAATTACTTCTATTTATCAAAGACCCCTAAACAATTTATATCGTGGGTTTCACACAATAATATTAACAATAATTATTATTATATTAATAATCATTACCAAACATACTTTTAAAGGATGATTCCTGGTAGATCATGCAACACTGAAGAATAAAGTAATGGCTGCTGAAAATTCAGCTTTTTCCTCAGTATTAAATTATTACATTTTAAAATATATTCAAATAGAAAACTACTATTTTAAATTGTAGAACTATCACAAATTCTGTTTTACTGTATTTTGATTTAAAAAAATGCAGTCTTGGTCTCGGAGAGCATAAAACACATTTAAACTGACCCCTAATGTTTGAACGGTAGTGTATACGGGTCACATGAAGGTCTTGTTTAGTTACACTATCTTATGTTATAAGTTTCTCTAAGTGTTCATTAAACTCTGAGAGCCTAATACAAATTTTCTATTTTGAGTTACCAACTGTCACATGATTATAGATTATAAATGTGTAGATCTACTAGCTGTGAAAAATAGTGCCGATTTTAGCAACTTGACAGAACAGCTTTTATTTTCATATTGGAGACTGCTGTATAGTGTTAAATGAGAACTCTTTTCTTAAGTCATTAAGGCAATTTTTAAGTCAATCTTGATTGTTATACCTTTGAGGACCGTCTATAGAAAAAAAGAAAAAAAAAAACTGGTGCTACACGGAGCTTCTAAAGCTAATACCCAGAGCTCCCACTCAGCTAAAACTGCAGTTATGGGGGCATATTCATAAAGAGTGTCTTTGTGCCTCTTAACAAACACAAAATGCAATTATGGGTAAAATATCTGTTCAACATGAACAGGGCCCTTACATGACAAAAAGATGCATTTAGGCATTGTTTAAATTCACCTTAATAGTGTTTTAGACAGCTAGCTGTTGTCTCGCCCCCATAATATATAATATGCCCCCATAACTGCCGTTTTAGCTGAGTGGGCGCTCTGGGTATTAGCTTTAGAAGCTCCGTGTTGTAAGAAGCAACAATCCGGTTCGTTTTTTGTTTTTTTTAAACCTGCCCCTAACCTTACCCATATCCCACCTTGACAGCAGCAAATGTGTTTTGAGTTGCAATTTATTTTGTACACTTACACTTGCCTGTACTTGTGTATTTACCTAAGAAAGTACTGGGTAATATAAGGTAACTACATGGATTAAGGTTAGGTTTAGGGGTAAGTGTTCACAACATGAACACAAATGCCATGTATTTAACTTTTTTTGACACAAGCACATAGTAGTTGAAGACACTTTATATAAAGTAGAACCGAAATATGGATGTGAAGGCAAATGCATAAATGACTGTTTATAAATATAATGCCAATGAAAAGCCTCCTGTGTAATGCCTTTGAGTAGACATGGACATAATATAAACATCTAGATACCACGATAATGCAAATCAGGTGGCTTTCGCCCTCAAGCTTTATAAACAGACAGAGATAAACAGGCAGATATTGTGTCAAAATTGCAAATTGAAGACTGTTTTCTTTTTCTTCTGTGGAACAAAAAAAAAATTGCTGTTAATCCGATTACAAAAAAAAAAAAGAGGCAATAAACGTAAAAGATGACTGCCTGCCTGACAGTCACTACTTGCGTTCATTGTATCTTTTCTTCATATAACGACAGTGAAGGACTACGACTAACATTCTGTTCCATGATGAGAAAAAAATGTATACCTTTCACTTGCACCTCGACAACAGGAAGTATTTTGAACGAGCTGTCAACGTCTGTTTTGGTATTATGACACGAGACGGCTGTCATTAGCCGGTCAGGTTTCTAATCCACTCAACGCCTCAGAACAACATCACAGGACAAAGCTTTAACACCAATGGAAAAATGTGTACTGCCATAGACGAAGTAACAAAATTGGTCATTGGACGCTACTGTCGTGAAATCTAACGTTAAGTGGTTTGACAACAATGCATGCAGCAGATTCTTCTTACCTTCACCTATACGCTATGGATGACCATGACGGACACTCAACCTGTTCAGCGAGAGGACAAGTTTCGTCTCGTCTTGTCTAGGTAAAGTTAAACCGGTTCTCACTGCCAGTTTCTGCGCTCATCCGGAGTTCCGTGTCCAACAATACGCAACCGGAGACCCAGGGACCTTTATCACTATGCAAGATCATAAAGAGTGATCTACCACCCCCTGTTGGTACGGAGCAGAGACACGACACGAGACAACAATGAATACAGATAGATGGAATAAAAAATAAATATTATAATAGAATACAGAAACATAGCCGTTACGGTTATGTTTTAAATTCCATGTTTTTGTAAGACATATTAGATGTTTCATTTATATATTATTTGAAATGAATTACCAATGGTAGTTTAAAATTCATGTTTGTAACCCCCGTTAAAATTGTATTTTTGTCCGTCAAATAATGCTGTTCAACCCTGCACCCACGTCAGTGAAAGAAAATGATCAAACAAATATGTTTATTTAATATAAGTGGATTTAAGATGATTATAATTAATACTAAACCATAATCTAGTCCCAAACATACTAAATTCTGAATATGCTTGAGGAATCTAGTCCATTTCATGCCATGTCTAATAAATATAAAAACATATAAATGTATCTGTATAAGTCCACCTGTATTTGTAAAAAATAACGATAAATATTTATTGGCAGGGCTGTCAATGTTGCACCAGTACCCTTCGTCTTCCGTCTTCCGTCCCACCTGGAGCAGGAGGCCCTTCACCATCACATGACCGCATGTGTGCGTACGCGCCGTGGCTGCCAGTGAACATGGCGGATGAGAACGCAGAAGCGGAGCTCGACTGGAGCGGCCGACACAGCCTGCTGCTCGACGAGGACACATTCTTCGCTATGGAGGGTCTGCAAGCCACCCTTCAGCAACTCGAAGCCGAACTTCGGCAGCAAGACGTTTCTGAAGAATCGTCCACGGAGTATTGCAACAACTTCTGCCAGGTACGCGCAGCCGAAAACGCTGCATGCATGCGAACTGTTTATGTGCAACATTTCAGAGCTGTGGCGGCTGGTGTTAGCTAACCAGATGCAACCGACCATGCGTTGATGTGATCTTAAAGCGTGGGCCGCTTAGTGAGCCTAATTACAAGCGAATTGTGTTGGCATGCACGCCCAATGACCAGCAAAATAAGAGACGATGCAAGCTTTTAAGTTTCATTTTCTAATAGGTTGTTTTTAACGTTAGTTGGCTAATACTGTAGTGTGTTGCACGCTTCCCCATGCCCCCCGTATATGCGGATATAAGTTTGTGTTTACGATTGCGGATCTATGATCTGTAAGATCATGTATTAGCGATTTGGTTGTAAGGGCCTGCTGAAACGGCATTTCCATGTTTTGTTTGAATAACAGGTATATCTTGAACCGGGGTACAGCACGTTAGTGGGGTGGGGCTCGGTTGTTTATCTTGTGCATGGTCTGGTCTCATCTCTACCAACTTTGATGTCACGTGTTTCCTCGAGTCTAAACTCAGACCTCTTTGCATTCACACTGAGATCTATTTTTATGATTCGGTTTCAGTTCAGTTTTCGTTCACACTGTTGTTTTTTGGAACCAGCCCTCTTAAAAATTATTGTAATAAGATATTGATGATATTGTAATACTATTCTATTGATATTGTATAACTATTGTAATAAGTCATGAAGATATCAATCATGATACTGTTTTTAATATAAGACCTGAGTACAATTAGGCTACTCTGTAATTGCACTCCAGTACTGCCTGTCAAAGTTCACAGCCAGGGAACAGTGTATGTGTATGTTCCACTAAGTGTTTAGTGGAAACATTTTATTGATCTTTTTATTAAACATATTTTTTTGCATGGCTTGAAATGGACTATTAATTCAAATATTTTGATTTGAAAATACTATTTTAAGGCAAATTTCAGTCATGTTGTATTGAGTATTGAAGGTGCAGTAAGCGAAACACTGTTGAAATTTGATGAGATATTTGATGAGAAACACAGCCTTGCCTTCATTCCTTGGCCTCCAAAATAACATAACATGCAATGCAACATGACTGGCACATCAGAGATCAGACTGTCATTCAGCAATTACAACAGCATATCTTTGTTCTTTAAAAGATAGCAAAACCAATGTTACTCACGTATCGAGCTAAAACAAAGCAACCTCTGTGCCCCCCCCCCCCACGTCCACATTAATCTGGAGACATTTGAAAACGGGGTTTTCGTTTAAAAACGCTCTCCGTCCACACTAGCGTTTTCAGGCATTTTCCGACGTTTCAGTGTGGATTAGAAATTTCTAAATTCACTTTACTGCGCATGCGTGAAACTTCACAAAAGCTCACTGAGATGATACAGATGGGAAAATAAATAATAATGTTATAGCACAATAATAGGATAATTTTATTTAGCAAAATATCTCACCATCACTGATGCGTCCAGGTCGCATTCAGTCATCATATGTTTGGTTCTAAAACGCAAGGACAGCAGGTCTGTTTTGCCACAGGACAGCAAATGTAAGTACATTATCTGTCATCTTTGCAGTACTGTGCTATGAAGAATAGCACATATTAAGTAACATAGAAAGTAACATATTTTAGCAACAGTGTAAAAATTAATAACATAACAGGCACAATACTGATAAACATGAATATCTATTGGTACTACATGGATCACATGACTAAACTTACGTCATCGTTTTGAAATACCTCCGGTTTCACTGTCCACACTACAACGCGAAAACGGCGTTTTCAAATTTATCCACTTTGGACAGCGTTTTCCAAACGATACGTTTTTGTTGACTTAAAACGCCGTCTCAGTGTGGACGGAAGGCCAAAACGGAGAGAAAAATATACGTTTTCAAACGAAAAATATTAGTGTGGACATGGCCACAGGCAATGACTGTGTGAAACACAATTACTTTTCATCACACACACAAAACAGACTTTCAAAAAATATATACACAAAATAAATAGTTTATTTGCGGTGTTGATATAAATGTATAGCTCTTCCCAGAAATTGTTTACTGTACCTTTATTCTTGTTAGTACATTAATCTCAATTAATGTATCAAGGAAGTCAATGTAATTATATAAAAAAGTAAAGACTTTCACATTGATAGAAAAGATTTCTATTTCAAATTTAAAAAAAAAATCATCAAAAAATCTTGAGAAAATGTATCATGTTTTCCACAATTTTACAAAGCGCAATTGTTTCTTGAGGACCAAATCAGCGTATTAGAATGATTTCTGAAGGATTATTACACTGAAGTGACACTGAAGATATGGTTCTTTGGCCAGCTTTGCCATCACATGAAAAAAATAATTATATTATTTTTTAATAAAATAATTATATATATTGTAATATATCATAATATTACTGTTTTCTGTATTATCACATGACCCTAAAATTGACTAATTCAAAAAACTTAAATGGTAGTGTATTATGTATTATGCTCCTTGTTCTATCTTGCATTGAAAAAGCTTCACCTTTTGTCATCATGATTAATGTTGTAATGTAATGGCAGAAATGATTCGGGATTATGCAAATGTCAACATAAGAGAACTCAGAGTGCATTGTATTGCAATACATGCTAGTATTAACAAGCCATAATCGCAACACTAACCAAGTTTGATTGTTTAAAAGGGTTTTTTTGAATGTTTGGAACATTCTCGCATCAATATTCAATGCAAACTGCATTCAGACAATACACAAAATTCAGACAATGAACAAAAAATTGGTCTGATAGATTAATGAGCCAGGGTTTCAGGGGCCTCTTTTCAGTTTGAAAAAAGTTTACCTTTATAAAAATATTTTGCGGTACCGGCTATGTTAAAATGATTACACATTGCGTTTTTCTTTTGTTGTTGTTGTCATGGTTAAAGATTGAAAACTGTTATTTGTGACAGCACATGTCAATCATGCAAAGACTTTTTTTGTGTGTGTGTGTCTATAACACCATAATGCAAAATTTTCAGTGTTGGTGCTGAACGTGTAATTTGGTCATAACAAGCACATTAAAAGTATCCCATTGGGAACCTAGAGGCCCCATTTAGGAGACTACATTTGAATCTCAGCTCAGCCTCTTTTCCTCAGCTTCACTGTTGCTGTGGCAACCGATCCAGCAGGACTCTGTCCTGACTCCTGACGGATATCACTTGCCACACAAACTACCTGTCTGCTAGGGCATACTTCTTGTCGATACGAGTATCGATACAGCTGCTTCTCTATCAATTCTGCAGCCTGTGCTCAGCAGTGTACCTCGCTTAATTTGAATACAAGAACAGCGTTTACAACAAAGTGGAAATTTGCTGAAATTAGCCTAATTAAAATAATATATAAATATATATAGGCTAGCAGAAAGTTTAATCTGTCCCTCAGAGGAACAAAATAATCCCTCAATCAGAGCTTCAAACTTGTTCAAAACGGTAATGAGCGTTTTACTTTTTCTCAACCTACCAAGCATGTGCACACGATCTCTTCACCGTGGATAAAATCGCTGGCTTTCTGAAAACACCGGTAAGCTTGCAGTTTAGTGATCTCCAGTTTGATATTCTATTCACAGAAAAGTGTAATTCGTAAATACAACCACTTCTGTCCTGATTTTTTTCAAAGGGCAGTGTCTGTGGGTGGGTAAATGTATGGGTTTTTTCAGCTCTTTCGATCTAATGGACAAAATAAGCTCACGCCATTTCATATGAACATGCCCGGACAAGACGGCAAAACATATGCAGCTGCAAACAGTTGCAAGACCATTTTCAGCGCTGTGAGTGTGTGTGATAGAAATCAGGAATGGTGAGAGAACATTGTGCTTGGTACGTTTTCATCTTCAAACCAAACTTTGGTCTTAACGCCAATAAAGTTTGAATCCTGTCTGGCTAGCATGCTTCCCATAATGTTTATGCATTAAATCACAAGGCTGAGTTGGCGGTCTTTTGTGGCTGTTCGAACCCATTCAATCACTTAAGCGTCTACACTAAAGCAATCCGGTCGATACACCTTTGGAAGTGGTCTGAAGTGGACAAGCTCTAAATGTTTTAGAACAGTGCCTTTGTTAGTTTGAATCCAATGAGGTAAATTTTATAGTCTTCTGAAACTGCAAATTGCTATTGTCATTCTATACTTTGTACTTTTTACTATTTGCTAGGCTTTTTTGACATTAGCTGAATAATGATCTAACACAACGATTTTTTTTTCTTCACTCAAGTGATAGTCTCAGAAGAAAGCATCCCAGCTGCTCTGGGCTGACACTTGTTAACAGGGCTATACCCAGTTACCCAGAGGGATACTCTCCTAATCTTAGTCGTAGAGGTTAAATATGGCATTTCCTTGCTTGTTCTCTATAATAAGGTATCAGCTGGGATTTAACATCCTTGAGGCTTGATGTTTGTGAAAGGAGAGTTTGATTGTGTTGGCTACATCAGGAATGATGAGGCTATCTGGAGTTGCTCTGTGCTCTAGTTACATCTGCTTCCATCCCTAAGGTCCAATCAGAGCATCCCAGCACAGATGGAGTGCTGTGGAAGTGTTGTATCTGGGGTTTCTCATCACATCCCTTGTGTGGACCCGTAGGTTTTTGGTAAAGACAGTATGCTAACAACATGTTAGAGCCAGGCTCTCAAAAGACCCTTGTCAGCACTCTGCAAAAGTCAGGCCTCATCCACCTTGGTCTTGTTTTTTTGAGCATAATATACTACCATTTAAAAGTTTGTGGTTGGTAAGATTTTTATTTGTTATTTATTTTATTTGCCCGAAGATAGTTATTTTAGTCGATAAAGTTTTAAATGGGTGGTATAATGCCCTTTTCACAAGATCTAAAATAAGTCTCTGATGTCCCCAGAGTGTGCATGTGACATTTTAGCTCAAAATACTCCACAGATATTTTTATATTCACCTTATTCTGCTCTAAACAATGTGCGCTGCCATAACAACGACTCCAGTTGCCACTTTCCGGTTCGATTGTTTTATTATATCACAGATAAAAACAAAATGAACCTTTTTTTTTTTCTTCATAACTTTCAAAGGATAGCTGATGCATGACTGCACAATCTCCCTAATCCAGCAATACATGAAAATAAAAGCGAATATTTGAGGATTGAGTCTGATGTGGAATTTTAATATTTTGATATTTTAGTCTGATGTGGAAGCAAAATGGCTTTAGGAAAAAAAAATTTTTTTTTAGTTCAAATTGTTAAACTAAAATTGTTCACAGTAATAATAATAATAAAAAAATACACAACCAACCACCCAGTTGTTTGCGATTTAGACTATGTAAATAGAAATGTAGAAATGTAAATCGACATAAATGCTTCTGTTTCCATGCGGACTTGTCGATTTGACGCTCTGTTAAGAATGTCTTCTGAGTTGACTGATCTTACTCCCAGATAACTGTTGAAAAAAGGTGAATAGAAACTTCAAAGATACTTGTGTTTTTTAATATCCGTTGGACCTCTGAAGAGCAGTAAATTGGACTTGACTTGAGTGTGGTGTTAAAATGGCTTATTTTTATGATCTTGTTTATTTGGTTATTCTTGTAGGTTCTAATGCATTACGCTGGGAGCAGGAATTCAGTGGAACACGGATTGCCTCTATTGGAAGTTTACTGTCTATCAATCAACTGTTTTGCTGCTGCCAGGCCATATCTCACAAGCGACTCCCCCAATGTTACCCTTGTGCTCAAAAGACTTGCATTGTAAGTGCTATTTTTAGGATCATTTTTTATTTTCATACACATTCAGAAACACAATTTAAATTTTGTCAAGTTGTCTGCTGGCTCACTTGTTCTTAAAAAAAACAGTATACCTTTTAAAACTATGTTGACAGAATTATTTCCAAATGTTGTGATCATCTGCAGGAGTTGCCTTGAATTGTTGTTGTCTGTGCCTCAAAATGAAATACCGATGGATGCCTGGCTGCAGTTTCATGGTTCAGTTCAGGTAAGATATATCAATGAATTTGTTCTCCAAGATAGATCAAAAGTTTAATTCAGACTGAATAGAAGTGGCATGTGGCGCGATTAAAAATTTATGGATCCTTAAAGAATTAAAGGCTGACCTATATGTAGTAGGGGTGTAACTGTAAATGTATACATCACGGACGTCACGGTTCGGTGTATTCGTTTTCATGCATAAATTTGTACAAAAAAAAAATTAAAAATAAAAATAAATTAATAAAGAAGATGCAATTTTATGTTTAGTTTTCTTCCCCTGTTGCTCCGAACCGTCATGTTTGTGTACCGCCGTTACAACTCTATGGTAGCATATTTATGTATTTACATGCTTCATGATGCATACAGCATAATAAAGCCACTGAAATAATAATTTGGATGTACAAAATCTCACTGTACTTGTACAATAAATGGTTTTCTTAATATATTAATTTGCATTTATTTTAATGTATTTATAATTATTGAAAGGGCCTGCCATTTATGGTTTGACTTTTTAATAAAGTTCCGCCAAATGTTGCCTGTCCCCTATTAAAGACCCCTGTCGCAGACAGTGTGTACTGGTGTTCAGTGAGCTAAGACAGGCTTGTACTGTTTGTGTACTGAACAGAAAATATGGGACATACATTTTTCAGTGGGAATCTGTATAGCAAGTACAGTCACCCTGGACAATACAGAAAAAAAGACAGTGGCATTTGATCTAACATTCAGTGTGCGGTTTCTGGAAACTATTTGCAGGCAGATGCTATAGACTTTATATATTTTTCAATGTGTGGTTGTGCTCTTTACAGGCGGCCCATGAGGCCATGCTGCAGTATGGCAGTACAGATTTGCATGCCCTTCTGAACATCACAGGTGAAGGTGGAGCTTGGAATAATCCTGTCATGGTCTCGCTTCTTACCGGTCAGCCCACTGACCCAGATGAGGGTGAGTAACACTATATTATTGCAGTTTTGTTCATTGTGCCCACAATATGGGTTAACTATCTCAACATGTCATTTCGTTTTCTTTGATTGAAAGTTTTATTTTTGGTTTATTGAGAGATGTGGACCAGCTGACATTTTATTACACAAAATATCTAAAAGTAAAAACTGAAGTTTAACCAGTTTAAGGGATTTTTAATAAAGTATGTGATGTCAGACCTTACAACAATGTTAATATCTCCATTAAAACACAGTCAGCTGTTTATTTACCATTGCCTTCCTCTGGAACAGTGAATGCCTATCTTGCTTTGGAGGGAGAAGGTTTTATGGAAATGCGGATCAAACACTTGGAAAAAGTAGGGGAGGTAGAGAAAGCACTGATCCTCAACAAAGCCTGTGCTAACTGTAGCCTCCTGCCTAGTCAGTCCACTTTTCGCCAAACCTTTGTCACCCAACTGTGCCAGATGCTGCCTGGTGAGGAAGCTATTTTAGAGGTAAAGTATACAGTTTTACTTAAAGATTGTGTCTGATATGGTTGAACTTCATCATGGTGTGTTTGTTACTAAACTAAATTATATTATCATCTCTCCCTTTGTCTATAAGATTTCTAGAATAGATGCAAAAGATGTCCTGGACATTATTTGCAACATGGATTCTGAGGGGGATGAGAGCACAGCCTTCATCCTGTGCACTACATATTTTACACAGCAGCTACAGCAAGACAGCTTGTACTGTTCCTGGTGAGGACCTTTTATAACCAAAAATCAAGCACATCCTGATTTTTCATTCATGCATGTTTCTTTATTGCTCTAAAGTGTCAATATCTTAAAGCAGCAAATATGAGAGAACAAAAAATTTGGCATGCACATTGTGTATCTGTGCTAATAAAATGAGCTATCGTACCGTTTTTACTGCAGGGTATAGTGATACATTTTTAGTACTGTCTGGTATATCGTGCAACACTAGGGTGCACAGATATATTTTGGCGTGAAGGCCATAAATGGGTGTAATTGTTTGCTTGGATGTCTTCTCTAATGAAGCTTTATTTTCTATGATGTCTGTCAGGGAGTTAACCCTCCTTTGGAGCAAACTGCAGAGAAGAATTGATGTGTCCCTTGAATCATTTATTGAACGGTGTCTCCAGTTTGCAGCCATTGCCAGGACTATCTACCATCTCCTATTCCTAATTCGTGTGATTCAGACAGAGGTAAATAGACATGTTTTCTTCCTCATTTGGTTATCCCTTTAATGTACACTAAGCTTTTTCTGAATTTTTGTTTGTTGTATTTTTCAGGCAATGCAGCTTGGCCTAGCAGTGTCAGTTGACCTATGTGTGAAGGCTCTTCGGCTTCCAAAGCAAGATGACGTAGATGCAAAAACAATGGTCTGCAAAGCTATTGTCTGTCTCCTGCCTGAAGATCTGGAGGTGATAAGGGCTTGTCAACTCACAGAATTCCTCTTAAGTCCTGCCCAGGAAGCCTTTGATGTCCTTGAGGAGCTCTACACACGCCCTGATCAAAAATATGATGAGGAGAATGCCATTATTCCAAATTCTCTGCGTTGCGAGCTTTTACTTTCTCTGAAAGCACATTGGCCATTTGACCCTGAATTCTGGGACTGGAAGACATTGAAACGCTACTGTGTTCAGTTACTGGGGCTGGAACCTGAGGAAGAAGTAGAGGATGAAGAAGCACCCGAGGAGCTGTGTAATCTTGGAGCAGTTTTGAATGAAGACGTTGGGAAGGAGGGAGAAAATGAATGTAAGGTTAATGCATTTAGCAGCACTGAGCAAGAACAGAGAGTGGAAGAAACGGAAATGGAAAAGGGAGAAAAAGTCTCAAAGAAAAAAGACTCTCAAGACGTCTCTAAGAAATCCGACATGCATCAGAAGGCTAAATTTATCTGCCAGATATGCCATAAACAAGTGGTGGAGACGCGAATCTGTCACCATGCCAGAAAACACATGGAAAATGACATGTGGACATGTCCTGTGTGTCTACAAAAGTTTAAAAGTAAAAAGGAGTTTGCGCTCCACTCCAAAAAACACATTCAAATTCCTGCAAAGGGTCACTGGAAAAAGAAAAAAGTGAAGAAGAAGGTGGACCTGCAAAATTATTTCAAGGAGGATAGTTTGGATGAGCTAGAGCCTGGTCAAATTCCTTTAGACCCTTCTCTTGCCATGTACTATCAGTCCACCCATGACCCTGTTGTATTAGAACATATATTAGAGCAAGCTGCCAGTGTGCCTGATAAGCAAGTAGACGATGACTATATTACATTTGACTACATCAACGCATACTTTAAGTTACAGGATCGTGATGTTTACCAGTGTCCAGCCACTAACTGCTCAAGGAATTTTAAACTTTTTAAGTACTTGGGTGTACACATAAAAAATGAGCATGGTAGTGAAGACCCCAATTTGAAACATTATCTGGAGATGAAAGACCGCCGGGAGAAGTGCACTTTCTGCCGAAAGACCTTCATGACAGCCTATCACCATCGCCAGCACCGGTGGGTCCATTATGGAGATGATCCTTACATATGTGTAGTCACAGGATGTGGTGCCCGTTTTGATACCACCAATGAACTTATAGCACATAAGCATAGTCATGGGTTCCGCTTGTCTTACAGCTGTGAGTTGAAAGGCTGCAGTTTCTCTTATTGTGACCTTGGGCAGCTCTACCACCATGAGGCGCAGCACTTCCGCGATGCAGCTTACACTTGTACCAGCGCAGGGTGCAAAAACTTTTTCTACTCTCGCAGGGAATTCCTACAGCACTTGGCCACTCATGACATCACTTTCACGGAGAAAGACTTTGAGACGCAGAGAAAAATGAGAATGAAACTCTTGCTTCCAGTTGTAGAAAGTGACTTGGGTTCTGGGTCAAAGGCAGAAGTAGAGAATGGTGTCCAAAAGGTTGGTTCAAGTTCTTCACAGCTCTTGGCGAACAGTGAATCTAAGGTCTCGTTGACGTGCGTTGCTGTTTGCTTTGATGGGAGAAAGTTTACATGTGGCTTAAAAAAGTGTAAAAGGACTTTCACTACTGCAAGAGAACTCCAGAAGCACTTAAAAATTGCTCATTCAGGTGAGTTTAACGAGGATTCATTTTGCAAGAAGAAAGTACAAGAACAACATTCAAAGACTCAAGCCAATGAATTGCATCAAAGTGGCCAGGATAAGACTCCAAAAAAGGCATCTACAGAGGAATCCAATCACAAAAAGGATATCTCGCCTGCTCCTGAGTCTGTAGATTGTGATGCAACCCTTTCAAATGTGGAACTCTGTGAAGCATTTACCGAAATCATGCTTGGATTAAGTCAACTAAGCCTTAATTCTCCCAGCACTAGATATGCAATGCGTAATTCACAGAGCACTTGCACAACTACCTTGAATGCAAGGTCACCTGCCAAAGCAGCTAACAACAAAAAAGAGGTGAGATCTCATGTAGTGAGTAGTGATTCAAAGAGGCTGTCAAGCAAGTCCGAATTGCCACAAACACATGACTACATTAAAGACTCTGAGAAGGAACAACCGCAAAGCGAGCCCCCAACCAAGCCTTACACCTGCGAAGCCAAAAGTTGCCACTACAAGAGCGTTACCTGTTGTGGTTTAATGCAGCACTACATTAAAATTCATGGATACTCTGAGGAGAAAGTGCAACAGATGGAGGTGTTTCAATCTGAAACACTTGAGCCTCTCAAAACACCTGATGTCACTGAAGATTCTGTTTTGGGGAACAATCAACCCCAAAGTGAGTTCCTTGTGCAGGCTACAATCAAACCTTACACCTGCGAAGCTAAGAGTTGCCACTACCAAAGTGCTACTAGTCGTGCTTTAATGCAGCACTACATTAAGATTCATGGTTACTCTGAGGTAGCGGTGAAAGAGATGGATGTGTTTCAATCTCAAATATTCAAGCCTTTCAAGTGCCATCTCTGCTCCAAGAGCTACAGAAACAAAAAAGAATTGAAGATCCACTTTATACAGATGCATCACATGAATAAAGCTATTGTTGAGCAGATGAGCTGCAGTTTTAAAAGGAGACTAGTTGATAAAGCACCTGTGTTGTCATCTAAAATGAGGAACAGGAAGAAGTCACAATCTTTGAAGATGGATGACATTAAAACCAAAATACGGGACAAACACCTTTGGCAACAGAGATGCCAAAAAAAAGATTATCAGTTGTGGAAAAGAAAACTAGATAGAAAAAATGGACAAGTTAAATCTGAAGAGAAAAGGCAAGTCCCTTCTGAAACTGATGCTGATGTAAACCACGAAGCAGTTGATGTTAGGGGAAGCCGTCGCTTGGTAGCAAAAGGGAATCTGAGCCACATCCTCACTAAATACAATAAACCCTTTCATTGCGTGCATAAAAACTGCAATGCTGCCTTCGGTAATCAGAATGCCCTTGTTGGCCACCTTCAGTTAGTGCATCACTATAACCGCTCACAGTTGTGCTTCCCATGTGAACACAAAGGATGTGATAAGCAATTTAACAACTTGTCTAGTCTTACTAAACACTACCGTAAAGAGCACAACTTCAACAGAAAGAAAATTACATCAAAAGTGTCCTGCAAATCTAAGAACATACCAAAAAGACAGATGACCTCATCAGAGGAGCCCATACCAAGGTTCAAGTGTACCTATGCTAACTGCAATGAGTCGTACCATCTCAAAAGCAGCCTCTTGCGTCACACAAATCAGTTTCACCAGAACCCCACTCCACTGAATCCAGCTGCCACCTCTGTGAACAGCAAGTTCAAAATGAGCTTTAAAAAGCATGTGTTCTATAGGCACTGTGATCCATCTGATTCCCTTGTTGTGCGACTCCAGAGTACACCTAAAAAAGAGTCAAATAGTGGATGCCAAACGAAGTTGATCATCTCGCCTTCTTCCCAGGCAACGAAAGATTCCCAAAAGCTGCCTCTCAAGCAACCTTTGAGATGCTGCATAGAGGACCAGGAAATCGCTCCATCTGAGGAGAACTTTGAGTCCATTGAAGGAAATGCAGAGGAGATGTTGGACAGGGTACCTAAGACACAAACTATCAAAAAAAAAAAACGATTTGACCAGATTGTCTTCCGAACACACGAGGAGGCTTTGCAGATGTGCCAAGACCGCTGCCTGTCTGTAGCCTTTCCTTGCATGTTACAGAACTGTGACTCTGTTGTAACTAGAATGAGTAGTTTGAGTCGACATTATATTGCGGTTCACAAACTTACACGCGGACAGTTCACTGATAATAAGGACAAATTATGTTACACTGCAGAAAAGTTAGAAGAGATTATACAAAAAAAATCTGCTGTGCCTGCTATACCTGATTTAACAAGGATTCCAAATGGCGTCCTCAAGATGGAGTATCAGTCTGAGTCTGCGACCCCAGGTGGCCAGTCACTGCCAATGAGCCTCCATTCAATCAAAAACAAATCAAAGGGACATGAAGTAACTGAGTTTTCAGGGGAGCAACACCCCGACACAAGTTTGCTTACTGCAGCTGAAGGTTTGCTCTGTGGCTCCCCGAAGTCAAGCGGGCACCCTGAAGAGCCTGTTTCTGAGGAGAGTCCAAGCAACAAAGACAGGTCAGACTCTGAGTTAACAGCACCTCCCCTTATTCGACCTCCACCACTTGACCTCTCACCACCCTCTACTCTCAGAATTGCTGTTGATGAAAGTTCATTTGAACCCTCTGATAAAGACAGTAAATCTATTAACATTCCTTCTACTGTTTCCATATCAGTTCCCACCCCAACTCGGCAGCCCCTCAGACGGAGGAATGAACTCTCCGAACCACCACCGCCAGTCCCTCTTTCGCCAAACCCAAAGGATCCTGTAGAGCACAGTCTAGCACCACGAACTTTTGACATTGCAACTTACAAACCTATGGGCTTTGAGTCCTCGTTCTTGAATTTCATTAAAGAGAAGGAGGAGATCAAATGTGAAAAGCCGTGGGCTGCAGTAGTTACTAATCCTTGTCTCAAACCTGATCCACCTCGACGCAGAGATTGTTTCAGACGGAACTGCTCGGTCAAAGAAAACACTCAGAGAGGAGCCCCCATCTCTCGAAGCCGCAAGTTTCGGTCATCCCCTCTGAGGCACTTGATCTCTAAAGGAGAGTGTACCTCTATCCAGAATCTCCGTCTGATTTTGGAGAGGGCTTTAGCGGGCTGTGGCGACCAAGCTATAAAACAGCTTCAGTTCTTGAAGCCTGTGGTGGTTCTAGAGAGGCCAAAGTCCTTTGCCTCCATTCTTGATCTCTTACCCTCTGAAACTAAAGCATAAACTTTTGCTGGGCAAAAAGGCAGTAAAACTCTTGTCCACCTTTTTTATTTGAGAGACTTTCATAGTATTTTTTATATTATTGATACAATTTTGGTTTTTTTCTGCCAGAATTAGGTACCTTGATTGTTAAGTTGTGAATGTTTATATCTGTAAATAAGGTCAAATAAAAAAAGAACAAAAAAGATTTTGAAAATACATATTCTATTACTTGTGTTGTTTACACATCAGACCCATAGCTGAAAATGACTCAACAGGATCCATTTTAAGTTTAGTTGGTTTTATATATACTATGAAAATACATACACATTTAGAATTGGAAATAAATGTATTCAAGATACAAAATTGAATAGGGACAGCATTGCTTGTTTATGAGCCTTTCAAAAAGTTTCAGAAATCTTTGAACAGGAGATAGGCCTACATGTTGATATTCGTCCTCAGATGGCAAGCCCAAAAACACTAACTATATGTATATGGTTTTATTCTCTCACCGTATTGTGCAGCTCCCTGTGGAAAATAAATCAATGTCATTAAAAAAATATGTATACATTTTTCGATAATAATTGGAGTATTTAAAGTAAGAAATGAAATCTGAAGTACTTGCCCGTTCTTACATGTCTTACCATCTTTAGTGTTGTCCCAGAAACTCGAGCTGGCAGTGTGCAAAGAGTGGATTTGGGAAAAAAACAGGTTTGTTAACCGAAGTATTATTGTTGTTTAAATTGCCTGTTACCATACCTATGTACTTAAAAGGTTTTCCTAATTTAGTCAGCTGGCTCAGACTTGACTCTACAATGTTTGACATCCACTGGTTGATTTTGTTGTGTTGGTGCTTTCAACAGCCTGTAATCAAAAGACCCCATAATACATGATTATTGCAATGAATATATTGATCATAAACATTTTATAAAATGTTTACACATGCAATCAAAGTAACTGAATTTATAGTTAAATACTGACTTAATGTCTACACATTGGAGTAGTAAATACTTCTTTGTTTGATAAGCGTGGTAATCTCGTCCACAACAAATGTAACGTTAGTCTGTGAATGAAAGTATTACATGGTTAAGGTCGCAGTTTACGCATGGACAAATCGAGAGATTATTTATACTACACATAGAAGTAAGAATAATAACTCGACAAAAAACCTAACAATAATTAGTAGTATTGTGTAGTACCTCCACAGCAGACTGATCTTCGTCCATTGCGTGACTTATCCAGAGCGTTTTGTAGTTTCTATGGAGACAGAAGGGTCCCTCTCTGTGCTGTTCTTCAGTGTTTTGTTTTTGTCTCGCAAAGCAACGAAAATAGTGTCAAAATATCACCAGTTACTTTTTCGAGGATCTCGAGTTTGTGGGGTGAATTATACTGGGAAAATAATTTATGACGTTTTTTACGCAGTAGGACAACAAAACCTGGTGGAAGTAGCCATTTGGGAAATACTTTGGCACCCGAGTTGCTTAACTAGCTAGCTAATTTAATATGAATCAGATTCCTCACTTGATCTCTCACTCAGCAGTTCTCTGTGAAGGAACTATTCATAAGTGAGATATGCCTGGTTTGTTTTCTTCTACTGTCCCGTATCCTTTCAACGCAAGCCTGCATTCTCGTAATTGATACAGTAGCTCGTCACACACGGGAGAAGTTTGTTCTTTCTGGCAAGTTGGCAACTTACAGTTATTGTATTTAAAACAACAACACCCACGGCCGCATTAACCATAGGGCTAGGCGGGGCTTAAGCCCCGGGGCCCAAGCAAGGAGGGGGCCCGTGATTGGCTGTGGAGCAGATACTGCAAGCCATCTGATTACCAAAGCCTTACCACGCAACGTCCCCCACAAATTATCCCTGTTATTTAGTTGCACTTTGCCTTATATTCCATGCATTATCATGGAATCATTATCATTAATAGAGACGTTCGCATTTCGCAAAGACCCGCCTTTTTATATGTGACGAGCCAGGCGGGTCTCACGAGTCACGCACATCATGTTCTCATGCACTCACGCAGTGAAAAATACTTCGCGGGGCAAAGACTAAGTTACACCGAGTGATTACGAGAGAGAGTTCAGAGCAGCTTACTGTTGATATTAAACAAAGTCTCAACTTTCAAATATTGTCATTCAAGTTCACGTCCACCGACTGACAGCTTTGTTGTCGGACAAAGTTGCGTATTCGGTGTTATGATTGGCCAGGCCACCTGTCATTCAAACCCCCGTAGGCATGCAGGGCCAACGGCTCTGAGCAGGGCATGGTAAATTGAAACGTCAGGTTTTAATTTGATGTGACAAATATATTTATTCTATATTTAACTTGTGAACGACCGACCTGCTGCTGCACGTAGGCATAGATGATTGCTGCCTGCGCCTTATTAGAATAGGCTATACATCAACCAATAAATCGCCTTATTTACTCTTCTCTTCATTCTAATTCTTAAAACACAGCGTCATCATCGACCCCACAAACTTTCGGTAAGTTTGAATATTAACTTGATGGATGTATAATTTTGCTTTGTGTGTTTGATTAAACTCTATATTCGCCTAAAGGACTGGCGATAATATATCCGGTAGAAATATTTAAATTTTGCTGCGCCATCATGATGTAAGTTTATCATTTAAACGCGTTTTTAAACGTTGTGGTTTGGATACAAATTATTTGGATACAAATTATTTCAAACTGCTCAGGCACAGTGAGCAGCGGGAGAATTCATTAAATGCTGGTTTTGAGACCAAGGTGAACCATGTATTGTATATTTGATTACTTTATATAATAGGCTATAATATTATTCAGTGCTTTAAGTTTTTCATAGGTCGATTTATTGTGCCTTTGTTCTATTTTAATTTGTGACTCTTGTCATCAGTAAGCTTGAGATTATTTTCTTAAGCTACTAATATTTTTTGGTGATATTGAAATTGGTCACAATAATTATGAAATTTTAGTCAATACATTTTGATATGATAAAAAAAAATCGTGTTAAAAGTAACATAACTTAACTGTGAAGTATATCATAGATGGATAAATAATAATATCGTATATATGACTCGTATAATAATATAACATTTAGCTCATGTAGTTGGTGACCTAAAGTGGTGGGGGGGCCCTGCAGTAACTCATAGCCCCGGGGCCCAGTGAGCTCTTAATACGGCCCTGACAACACCACCTGGTGCAAAGGTGCCCAAAGTTGAAGAGAAACACCCATGTACATTTATTATATTTCTTCTGACTAATGTAACATTTGTGACTACTTTGATACTATTTTAATGTATTAGTGCTGAAGACTTTTGCTGATTTGCTCGCATCATTTTGACTGCAGTGGTGGAACCGTTTAACTAAAAACTAATATAGCTTACATAATATATGATTAATCAGTCGTTTTTTATACATGAATCCAGATTATCACAGAACCCTCATAAATTATACATTTTAATTGACCACACTATCATACAATTACAAATAAAAATGGTTCAGGAACCCATTTTGTTCTGCTCTGGTGTCCGGTCGAACACAGTTTCTAGTTACACCATAATTTCACATGAATGGGAAAGGAAGTGATATAGCATGAGTTATCGTTATTTGTGCATCTCTGCATCTAGTTTCTCCAATTAATGGACATAGCACATACACATTCTCGTAAGGTTTAAGTCTCGTATTGGGTCGGAACAGGTACGAAGGTTATCTGTTGTCTTGAATGAAAAGGCAGCAGACTCCCGAATTACTGGATTTCCCGTGCTAATTAACGGTGCCAACAAACAACTACCAAGACGGAATAATGTTGCAGGAAATTATTGCATTACCAGTTGAAGATAAAATATTTTACGCTGTCCTGGTCTTCTCATGGACGGTGTACATTTGGGAGGCCTACCTCGCCTATAGACAGGTGAGCATATGTTCATTGCTTTGTTTGTGGAAAGCATTTAATTGTCAGTCACTCTATGCATGTATGAATGTTTGTTCTAGTTTGCATATTTTGATTATTAAAATCGAACTTCTTCCCTTTTAGAGTTTTGTTCAAATGCATTTTGATGTACTGAAACAATAAACCCTAAATAAACACACAGACACGTTTGACCTTTCACAGAGGAAGATCTACAGGACAACAATGCATGTGCCCACTGAGCTGGGCAAGATAATGGATTCAGAGACCTTTGAAAAATCCCGCCTCTATCAGCTGGACAAGAGTAACTTTGGCTTCTGGTCTGGACTCTACTCAGAGGCAGAGGGCACGGTGATTATGTATTTATTTTGTTGATTTTTTTTTCAAGATTTTTTCTTTTTCATATAATACACTGTTTTATGTTCACACAACTTCATTTCTATTTCAAGTTTCTCATGAGTTTTCTGGTGGGAAAATCATGCATGGACTGAATAAGCGTGGACTGCAAAAATGAACTTCTTTTAAGATATTTTTTTGTTTTACTTGCATCTGTCTATTCATCTGAGCATGCTTAATCTTTTTTTCTTTTTGTCTTGTTTTATTTTGTAGCTGATACTGCTCCTCGGAGGAATTCCATTCCTTTGGAAAGTGTCAGGGAATCTCACAGCTCGTTTTGGTTTTGGTCCAGAGTACGAGGTAGGTTATAAATGTCTTTACTCTCACTTTTGATTAATTTAATACATCCTTGCTGAATAAAATTAATTAAAAAAAAACCCTGAAACTTTTTAACTGTTATGTATAATGTTTCAAAAGCTTTCTATTTCAGATGACTGTTCTCTTGAACGTTCTATTCATCAAAGTATCCTTAAAATTATTAACCGTTTTTAACATTGATAATAATAATAATGATAATAATAAATGTTTCTCCAGCAGCAAATTAGAATAGTATAATCATTTCGGAAGGATCATGTGACACTGAAGACTGGAGTAATTTAGCCTTGCCATCACAGGAATAAATTACATTTTAAAATGTATTAATATAATATTTCACAATATTTGTGTTTTTGCTGTATTTTGGATCAAGTAAATGCAACCTTGGTAAGCAAAAAAGACATCTTTGACATCTTTAGTGTACATTGATCTCGTCATGAAAATAGCCATAGATGCTGGTATGGCAATAAAAACAAACAAACCTGCCCTCAAACAGTAAGAGTCTGGAAGAGTTCAGTTTGTGTTGTCGACATGCTTTCACATTGTTTTCTGCACTCTGAAACCAAATCCACTTTACAAGCACTGTAAGTGGTAGACCAATCACAACAGACTGGGCCGTCTGACCAATCAGAGCAGAATTGGAATCTCAAAAAGGCATGGTTTAGACAGAGAGACTAAATCCTTGATTATGCCGATTCAGACACGGAGAAAAAATAGGAGAGGATGCATATTGAGAAAATTAAAGTTTTTGTTTTGTTTTACTTGGATGCATGTAAACCCATTGTAGGAGACCTCCAAAACAAAAAGTAACAACCTTTAAAATAGCATAATAACTAAAGAGTTTGTTTTCAATTTTAATGACATTATGTGAAAAATATATATTGTATACTGTACATAATATATACTGCTAAAAGAGTTTTTATACTAGTATGGTTTCCTGAAAATCTCAAATGGTCTTCTTACCTTCAGATCTTTCATTCTTTGGCATTCCTGATGCTAGCTACACTCTTTAGTGCTTTCACTGGCCTTCCCTGGAGCCTCTATAACACTTTTGTGATTGAGGAGAAGCATGGATTCAACCAGCAGGTAGATAAAGACTAGATCACTATCTTTCTGTTGTAGCAGGAATAAAACTGATGATGAAATGTACTGAAATCGCTTTAATTTGTCCCTTGCTTATAGTCGCTGAGTTTCTTCCTGAAAGACGCACTCAAGAAGTTTGCTGTGACTCAGTGTATTTTGTTGCCAGTGACATCATTACTCCTCTACATCATCAAGATTGGTGGTGATTACTTCTTCATCTACGCCTGGCTCTTCACACTCATCGTCTCACTGGTCAGTTTTTCGTGCTTCTGCTGCACGTGTTGTCTGTGAGGATAAACAAAAAGTGAACTGAACTGTCCTTTCACTGTCTACAGATTCTAGTGACTATCTACGCTGACTACATTGCTCCTCTGTTTGATAAGTTCACTCCACTGCCAGATGGAGAGCTGAAGAGTGAGATTGAGAGCATGGCAAAATCCATCGACTTCCCCCTCACCAAGGTCTATGTAGTGGAAGGTACAGCTATAATCATCTTTTCATTTTTGTTACTTTCTATCCACAAGTTTCCTATGCCCCATGAGGCCTTGCGTCAAAAGTGGGCACATTTTCCGGTTCGAAGTAAACAAGTGAGACGTGACACTCATTC